CTCTTGACCGAGAGCAAGTCTTCTCATGCATGTTTCTGGAAATATGTGCCAGTCACATGTTCCATTACTGTGTACTGTGTTCAGGGGCCGATACCAGAAAATACCTTTGAAGCAACGTTTTCGCGAACACCTGGTGCCATCACTAATTTTCAGTGATTCATTCATAAAACATTCACAGCTGTGTTTCCCTTTACACCCAAAAGAATCTGTTTCTGATTAATGTCAGTATTCTTTTACACTGACATGTTAAATCACAAACGCCTTAAACTATTGCCCAGAAAGAGCATGTTGTAATTGTGTAAAGCCTTTATATATAGCAGTTGGTCTGTACTTGAGTAGAAAAGCATTGCCAGCAATGATGACATGCCAAGGAGCAACCGATTCCTGTTTCAGTTGCTTGTGCTGATTCCTGTTTCATTTCTCTGAACCAAACTTTAGCCGTTGTGGAATTTAGCCTGATATCGGGTGGTATACGTCTTAATACTATCAACCTCATTTCCCTCCTTGAAGTCGAGGTTTGCTTTTTCAACTGACAGCAGTACCAACTGTTGTAATATTTTCAATCCTGAATAGCTTATTCCATGTTCATGTAATTTACTACTGATAACTGTGTCTACCCCAGGCCACATCCGATGGCAGTAAGTTACAAATGAATTGTCTGGTCGCCGTCTTGCTTTTAGCATGACAATGACAGTTGCCACAGGGTCAGCGCATACCAGTGTAACGCACCGGTCATAGACACGCCATGACAGGATAGGCAAACCCGAAATAAGATTTCTACCGCTCGTCTAACAGCTATCTAATAATAATTTGCGGCTCTGTCGAGCCCATCAAAGATCATCTTGTATTCTTGATCTATGTGAGTCTGGGTCATTATATAGCGTTCCCTTCCAGAGTACGGCCAGGTGGCTTGTCGCACCGAATTAAGCCACCGTCGTATAAGGTTATACCGTGGTCCATACCGGAATGGAAAACACTGACCGTCTAGGAGAGTGCGTCCAATGGGGGCTTGATTCAATAGGACTTGTTTGCGAAGACTCCCTGGTAGGAGGTGAGGCCCAGGCAGACAGCCGCCAATTAGCAAACCCGTTATGAGTCAGTGACGACTCAGAGCCCACCGGCAAGTGAATTATCACTTTGCGTGCCCCCTATCACTTAGGTCGGGAACGCTGCGCTTGTATACATAGCTTTCTTGTAGTGCATTTACACTTACAACACGCGCCAATAAATCTGGTTTGCGACACTATCCTTTGTGTGGTATTGTGTGTGTATCCAATACCGTGGCCGCGTGGTAGACGTATTACAGTGCACGTGATGGAATCACTGTTATGATAACACATCTCATTTCACCGTCTGTGTTAGAGAGGTTTGGTTAAGGCTTATCGCCATCAGACTTGACGTCGATTCCCTGTCGCCAACCGCTTTGGGATGTGTAGATAGAACATGGAATCAAGAGCACAAAGCATGCCAAAAGCAGCACTTCCTGAAAATAACTACAACAGACTTTGGGGGAAGGATCGCTTTTGTAGCCGAGTGAATGTGGCATTTCAGCGCTCAGCTACAGCTGATAACCTCTCTCTTGGGATGAAGGCCATCACTTTATTGTGACAGAGCTCTATCACTATTCATTGAAAACTTTAATGGTTCAGATTTTCTGGCAACGCCTAACATTCTAACGTTGACATAATTTCCCTGAAGAATAGCCCCGAGCATGAGTTTGTTATGGTCAACGATGTTATTGTGGCATGTGGAAGAAACATCAACATTTTAATCGGAATGCCGAATCCATCAAAGAGAGAGGAGCCATTTAAATCTAAAGCATCAATGGGGTGAAGTTAAAGCGATACAAATGGACAGAGTGTATTTAACTGGCTGGAAATCAATCTATGTTATTGCTGCCTATTAGCGTTGATTATCACAGCTCTCAAGAGCGAATCTAAAAGGGTAACACACATGCGTGTTTTGTCTTCATAAATTGTGAACTCGGGCGTTTTTATACTACTGCGCTACATTGCAATTCAAGACAAATAATCTTGATTATTTAATACCAAGTGGCATTAATTATGTTTTGCGCGGAGGTCACAATACGGCACCTTTGACGAATATAAACCTGAGAAAACAATGGCGGATGCTATGAGCAACCAACTGCTGTTCATCACAACAAGGCGGGTCAGAACTTGTGGCCCGTCATTGCGCATTTTATTTGTTTCTTATCACAGATATAAGTGCTTCAAAGTAGGATCAAGTCTGCTTCTTCAATCCTGCGGATGAGGTGATGAAAACCATTGATAACTGTACTTCCCGGTTGATATGCGTCTCAAAGCTGTTGAAAACACTGAATTCGCGATCGGACATGCAAAAATAATCATATTACAAGCAGAAGGTGTTTGTAACACCCACCAGAGAAACATTGTCTTCAACAGATTTCTGGCGAGGAATATGTTTACAACTATGTTTCGTCGGGTGTTTTGTGACCGCAGCAATGTTTACAGTTTAAAGTAGTTCTTGACGTCCCAGATATACGATGTGCTCCTAATGGCATCACGTTCAAATATTGATAAGAATGCCGTGTAACATATAGAGGTACTTATAGAGGGAGAGTGGGGGAGGGTGGGGGTTCTGGGGCAGAAAGTCTTGAAATGTTGTTTCCATGTCGCTCTCTAAGGTTTTGCGGAGGGAGTATTTCGAATTTTGAATTGTAGAGTGTCAGCTAATTCATAAGTATCCGATTGGTGGAGTGACCGTTAAGTCAAAACTAAATAATTGCCATCCACATGTAACTGTAATACAAAAAGAACTTTGCAAAACAACGTACTTGCAGACTTGCGCAGACTTGCTTAATTGTTTTGAATAAGTTTGGAGGATAGATGTCCGCCATTTTGTTGTTGCTCTCAACAACCTTCCAGCAATATGACGGTCTGTAAATAATCGAGTAAACATTGCACGATGAATATGGGTATTGATATAGATCTATACGCGGTGATCAACTATGTCATAATGGCATGCAAATGTATTGTACACCGTAGTCCATGCTATGCCCAAAGTTAAGTCAAAGTGCTCAATACCGAGTTCTTTAAAGAAGATCAGTAGTTCATTATATGAACTATCTGCATAATCACATAGGGTAGGACACATATTGTCTTCGATAAAGTACAGCTTACAGAATTCCTATTCTACTCCAATATTCCCCAAGACCCAAAGTGGCGACAAAATAACATATGATCGGTACTTATGATCTGTCACAACCGAATAGTGAGTGAGTTTAATTTTAAGCCGCACTTAGCAATATTCCAGCTATATGTCTGCGGTCTGTAAATAATCGAGTCTGGACCAGACAATCCAGTGATCAACATCATAAGCATCGTTCTACGCAATTGGGATACAATGACATGTGTCAACCAAGTCAGCGAGACTGACCACCCGATCCCGTTAGTCGTCTCTTACGACAAGCATGGGTTACAGAAGACCAATTCTGACCAGGATCTTCACGGGTACACACTACGAATGATTAGGTGAGCTACAGTACCTAGTGGTTCTGTGTAACTTATATGTTTAAGCCATTATGCTGTTTTCTTCTAGTTTTAATGTAATCCCATGCCAATACGGCCGTGAAATGTCCTCCAGATTGTTATAAGATCTATTACCCAAACATCATTATCGGATAAACACCATGTAATTGGAACCTTGAAAAACTGTATACGTGAAACTTATCTCAACACGATACATACTCATGTGATTCGACGCCATGCCACGAGGGTCGAAGAATCAGCATGACATGAATAGACCGTGTGTACATGTGTTGACCTCGATTCTACATGAAAGACATTCCTTACTGGCTTGAAACAAAAATACATTGGTCTACACATTGACAACGTCCCATGGGACATGGGGAAATTGCATATATCAGTGTTTTTATGGGGGATTACTTAAACGTTCCCGAATAAGCTTATGTGCCACGGAGTCCCATGGGTGGCCGGCACTACGTTATCTGTTTAGAACATTGGGCTCGGCTTCAACAGTAGTCAGTAATTATGTTTTGCAGCTTTTATCTTAAATTACTTCCGTTGAAAGGTCTCACGGGAGTCATAAGACTGGTTCTGTGGGTCAGTAATACACATCTGTGTGGACACCAATAACATCTGTGGACAAGCAGGCAGCGTGATCTGTGTTAGATTTGGCGCTTTCTCTTCAGATGACTGTGAGGGAATCATATTCACCAAACGTGTGGCGTGTCATACCTTCCGGTCGACTAGTTTCGGGGTAATGCCTCGTGACCAATGAGGCTACGTTTCAGTTATTTATCATTCTTTCAATGTATATTGATTGCAGTAGTTATTATGATGACAATACTGTCGTATCTAATTGTTTTACTTCCGACGATAAAGGTACACGGTATTCATTCCAAGTTCATGTCGATACTGTAACTGGTAATGGGGCCTTTGTAGCTATTTTCCAACGTGTACTGGCAACTCTGGCAAAGAATTTAAGACTTTAATTCTTGAATAGCACCAATGAGGGTGTTACGCATTTCTTTTAAAGAAATCTTCTAGGTCATCAATAAATTAACAAGTCTGTTAAGTGTATCCTTCTATTGACACTGTAATGTGAACACGTTTGAATTACGCATAATGAATGAAGCATAATAACAAACCACTTAAGGAGTTTTATAATATGCAGATAATATGAAACCGAGGGTACAGCACGTGCATCACACATATCATGTCATTTTATAGAGGCAGGTGCCGAGAAATCTACACCAAAATTGTTTTGAATTACCCCCCTTAGTTGTGTCGGGATCCGCTGATCATGAGTTTAATTAACAGTTTGAATTTGCAAGTTCCTCATTCGTTGTTAAACGCCAATAATGGTTTCAATGGGGAATAAATCCCGTATTTAACAAGTCACATCGTGCTTTAACTGCAACACTGCACAAAGTGTTAACAGTTATATCACTCACTCTAGATGATTCCCAGAGTCTAATGCTGTTTATTTTCCTTCAGCTCTCCTACGCCGATACGAACCCGCTGCTGTCAGAGAGGGATAAATACCCATTCTTCTTCAGGACGGTGCCGAGTGACTCTGACTTCAACCCAGCGAGACTGGCGCTCTTAAGGAACTTCAACTGGACACGTGTGGGGACGCTTTTCCAGTTTGATCCCAAAGGGTCAACCAAGTACAATTACGTGAGTCTAAGTTTTTAATGATGCCTCTCTGCGACGTTTTAAATGCCTTACGAGATAGTGTCTGTAACTGATGACCTGCCAGCATAAATACTGTGCGAGTCATCAAATTGGTGTATTATATCCAGGTATGGCTTTAAACCTATACCCAGCCCAACCCAGTCTACATGTAGGTGTCATGAGGTAGCAGAAATCTGTTTGGTTCCATTCAAGAATTGGTCCATAGAATCCTTTTTTCAACACATGTGAATATATATACCCTCCAAGTACAGGGGTTATTCGAAAATAAAATATGATTACAGAAATACATAGTGATATCTGGTGACGGTAACAGATGGACACGAGAATAGGACCAGGTGGCACATGTCAACCAACAGGACAAGCTGGTGGTGGTATGTAAAGGTGAAAACAACCAACCACGACAGCCTTGTGCAGTTGACACGTAGACGTTTGAGGTCAATGTCCTCACCACAAACAAGCATCGTTTAAGTGGCGTGGCATGGTCCGAATCTTCTCCACTCTTCTTGCAGCGCTTGCTCCAGTTCAGCTATCTTGGTGTAGTGTAGACGTTGTCTACTGGAGGTGGTTACGATACATGCATGATGGGTGCAGGCATTATCCAGACCCGATGCATTTCAGGCTCACTTCTTAATCTGCCATATTGCCTTACGTTGCCGTCTGCACGACGTTCGAATGGACGCCTCCAGACACGCCCAGGCCTATCCAGAAAGTCCAAACTTGAACCTGGACTCATCGGAAAGCATTAGACGGTGAGGTCGGCGATTCGCCCAGTTTCTACGCTTTACAAAACCATTGGAGTCCTACTGGAATGTGTGGGTTTGTTAACGGTTTGTAATTATATATGTTTCGGCGAGTATGTGGAATAGTGGCATGCACACGAATCCTAAATCCGTCTGAATTCCAGTACCCTGGTGTAGGTGAATCGCGATTTCGTCACTCGCTGGGGATCACTTTGTTGACTTCTGCTGGATCGAGTCAGTCGAGTCAATCCTAGACATGTGCTTTAGACCTGGGGCCCCCTGTACTCGGCAGATGATTTTGAAATTCTGTACATGCAGAAACCTGTTCCCAAGTCCACAAATCACGGACTTAGTCACAGCGAAGATGCCGTCTACCTTTCACTGAGTTATATCAGTTCGGAGCATGCCATTAGCGTGCACCCCGTTGTATACACTATCATGCCATTAGCGTGCACCCCGTTGTATACACTATCATGCCATTAGCGTGCACCCCGTTGTATACACTATCAATCTGATCATAAATACAGCAACTGCATTCAAGCAGCATTTGAAGGTTCACGTGTTACTGTGGATGATGACAATCGACATTTCCGATTTCCCAGAGAGATTTGACCACTATTCACTTACGTGCCAAAATCAAGAATGACCCTCTCCAATGTGCACAGGCGAACTGCGTGGTGCAACGTAGCAGTAGGTTCTGGTTCTCTTAAACGTTCCTTCCCTCCCAGGCAGGTTTGAAATACTTAAGTTTAAGGAAAGGAGTGTTACTTGTACATTATGCTCTATATGTATTCTACAAGTTGAACTTGTACCTTCCAATTTCTTTGATACTCGTGATACTCCAACGGCAACGTGTTATCCTGCAACGTTGTTCGTCGGGGAACAATATTCCCAGTGAATTTTCTGGTATGATGTTTTGTAGTCATCCATAAGAACAGAACTGTAACCATTGTGTCTGGCACTGGCATAAATCTATCAACGAGATGAAGGATCGCATCACCTTTGATGTACAAGTTAATTAATTATGGTGTACAGCTCATTTGCTCGAGTGAAAGCTACATGTACCCTTTTCTAAAACCATGACTGGCCAAATCTGCTATGTTGTGCACAACATCGAGATTTCTTGTTCGGGCTTCTCCTTACACGACCTCAACCAGATGAAAAATTAACCCACAATGAACAGAACAGACTGCAGCCGACTTGCATTGCAAATGTGGCATATACAGCCACGGGTGGCCGTTCGGCTAGACACCGAGCTTTCAACTCCAGATGATGAAGTTTGATTGATCCTTGAGATATTCGTCTCGACATTTATGGCTGCCTCTGTAACATTGTGTAATTTCCTTTCAGTGTCGAAGTTGAGAATAAATGACCTGAAGACATGAAACACTTTATGGACAAGACATCCTTTACTGTTTGTAACGACATTTCAGGGCTACTTTTTGCCCCTGCGATGTGATCAGGTGCATGATGAACTAGCAAGAAGTGGTCCTGAAATGTCTTCACAATAAAGAAGTTGTTATCCATAAAAGTTCATGTCTTTATGTTCTGCCAACGTCTAAGTGTCTTCCAAAACATGAATAGATAGCATTTTTCAGTACCAGAGGTGATCTTACGGTCGTAACTAGTGGTTGTTTGGAGGGTCTGTTCCGGGATTTCTTACTACAGTACCACTCTCTCTACCACTGCAGTGAGAAGGCCAACTTCATAGTGTGATAAAATTATTTTATTGTGCCTTTTCGAGGAAGTCAGATTGCAAAATTATACACTTTTGTTGCATCATTGCAAAAACAAAATTTAATGCTCGAGCATGACGTGAAGTCTTTGAAGCCAAAATCAATGAGTGAATGCAGTTAGTTTTATGCCGCTTTCAATTGTAGTTCATCAAGATCAGAAAAGAAAATAACGTTGCTTGTTATATTCGAACTAGAAAGGATCCCGTTCCGAAATGCGATACTATCAGTCACTGCGATACAAAACGGATTGTTTTCCTGACTGACGTCAATAACCTGGCTTATTTTCACTGATCAACAAAACATTGTGTTGTTTTACTGACTCGTATTATTAGTTCGGCTTATTTTGCTTCTCAACAAGCAATCTCGTATTCACGTACTACCATATTGTTTTTTATTACATCCATACCTTGCGGTACTGAGCTGACGTCTACGCACTTATTCCTGATCTTAATATCTCAGCGCCTGTGTATGCTATGTCACACAACAGCTAATTGATGAATTCCGAAGGGTCAGGTACGTTCTAATAGTGCATTTCCTAGTGTCTGACTATATGGAAATGTTCCATTTAGAAAGCAATAGGTCTTTCACAAGCAGGCATAAACTGAACGGGAACACAAGATTTGTCCCGAACTTTCCTTTGTTAGTCAATTATTTCATGCGACCAGAGTTGTCCTGACGTCACAAGACATGTTAGTATTTCGTGTGTAAGCTGATCTTCCTCTTGCAGTATTTAAACAATCGTAACGGATGTGATGAACGAGAAAAGTTATGCTTAGAAAAAAGTGATATAACATTGCAACGAATCCCATTTTAAGCCTTCACCCTCAGCATGAAGCAATCAAAATAGCATTGACAATATCACAAGTCGTTTACATGACAGAAAGATAGAGCAGTTTTTTACATTTGTTTTAATAATTTAATAACAGCTGGGCTGCATCTCGGCGAAATGAAATTACGGTTGAAGTATGGGATGTTGATTATGAAAAAAAGTAAAATGAAAAATGCCACCTCAGCATTACAGAGCGCACTACTCTCCATCTCATGTGGCAGGCGGATCTAGCGGATGCTATTTAACACTCATCCTCCTAGGTCACACCGACATCGCCAAGTGTCTCAACTGTCTCTGTCTCTCTGTAGCATTAACATTGCTTCTCTGTCAAACTCTGCGTCTCTGATTCTGTCTTTCATTCCCCCCCCCCCCCCGTTTCTCTGACCTTGTCCTTAACCTTCTGTCTCTCTAACTCTGTCATTCTGTCTCGATCCTTCTCTGTCTCTCTGACTGTAGTGCGGATTCGATCCCCGGCCGCGTCACACCAAAAGACGTTAAAATATGGTACTTGTTGGTCCCTGCCTGACGCTCGGCATTAGTGGGTACATCAAGGACTGGTCGGCTCGGAGTCAGTATAATGTGTCTGAGTGGGTTATTCATGCTTCACTGCGGCATGGTATCTCAGTGGGCTAGCACTATAAAACTAGCTATACAAGCAGCCTCACATACACATACACACACGTGCACGTCGTCATATGAGCGAAATATTCTCAAGCACGACGTTAAACCCAATTTCACCTCACGACCTCTGACTGTAGTCTTTTTTGTCACAAACCCTTCTGTCTCCCCGACTGTCAATCTGCCTCGATTCTTCGGTCTCTCTGTAGTCTTTCTGTCTCAAACACGTCTCTCTCTAACTCTCCTTCTGTCTCAATCCTTCTGGTTCTATATACATCTGCTTATGGATTTCTGTCTCAATAACTTTGTCTCTGACTCTTTTTCTCTCTGACTCTCAACACCTGTATACTACTTCTACTAACTAATGAGCAGTTTCATGTCCCACTAACTATCTGCTCAACATGTGTCTGTGTGTATTTGTCAATGTGATATGTTCAGCTGTGACTTCATGCTCTTTTCTGCAAGAGGTAGTTAGGTAGCCTTGTGTTTGATCTCATGCCACAGCCAGGTTCGATTCTCAGCGTGGATACGACGTGTGAATCCTACATATGGTTACCCCCTCTGGAATTAGCTGGAACTCACGGTGAAGTCCCTCTTCACTAAAATAAGCATCATTCTAAGCATTCCTGTTGGCATTGTTTCATGTGTGTAACTAGCGAATCTCATTCTGTTTTCATCTCGCTTTTTCCCCATTCATTCCCAAGTCGAATGAAGTTAAGTGCATTATCAGGTCTTCGTTATGCTTTTCTGGCGGCCGGGTTTCTGATCGGCTGTGTAAGATCGGGGAGTTTCTGACAGTTGCCCACCGGGACTGTCATCTTCGTGCTACTTGCTTCACACTTGAGAAGTTACATCCGGTTATGTCTGCCGAGTAACACCGCGTAATGGGAGAACAGCCGGAAGAGGTAGTCCTCTCTTTACACAACATGGACTAATATACCTTCTCGATATTCCGCCGGAAATACACATATCGACCCAGATTCCGAGCAGATGGGCCCGCAGGTGGTGTGTCGAGGTACTAATTTCATCAAACGATTAGTCATTTGAAGAAATAGCAAGGAGTGTTACACATATGGTGGCAATGTTCTGCGATTCAATAGCCTTAAGTGTTTGAAATATGAGGAGAATGTGCCAAATGTGAAAAAAAACTGTTCCAAGGGGTATGTCACGGTACTATATAATTACAAAGATGTATATTCAAAGTTTGTTGAAAAAATACATTGCCAAACAATCAGTTTGATGTCCCCGTATATGGTCATGATGTGACTAAAGTCCATCATGCATTACTTAACTAATGAATTACATCAGCAGCCTCTTTGCGTCATATTTCATTTTAATACATGGAATTATATTTAGTGTTATCAAAAGGCCGTATATAGCATTGCCATTTATTTCCGGTAACCTTCTTAATCAGGGTCATTGCTAGAAGATATTAACGCACTAGGGCTGAAAATTAGGACAAAAACATTATATCGATCGGTGAAGAGATCCTTTCATATTTATTAAAAGGAAGTGCGATATTGAAATTACCACCCCTCTTACATGTTGCGAAAACTGTATTAATGAAGGCCGTCTTCTCTCACGTCCGCGCTTTCGGACGTGACGTAATTGGGAGCGGTAATCGCATTATACTCTCGTATCCCGAACTTCAATTACCTCCTTATTTCTTTAATCAATACTGGTCCCACCACGAGATGGTATTGTTTGTAACAACCATCCTACACGCACATCAAACAACGTCACAATTAAAGTCAAGGCTTCTGTAAATACTCCTCGTTCTAAATACTTAACGGAATCGAGGGCAGCGTTACCATATTTTATCCCACTCGAGGTTCCCAAAACGAACTTAAGTACGTATGTTACACGTAATATTTGTATGCACTCACGCGGACCTGAACTAGATCGTTAATGCCGACAGATACATGAAACAGCACCGTCTTTGATAGGTGCGCCTTTCACATATAATAGGCATGTGTACTAAGACGTCGGTTTATTTCCTTGCAAACAATGTACTTTGGTAGTTTGTCGTATTTAAGGCCTTGTTCCTGACTGACGGCAACCATTGAAAATACCAGATCAAGATGCCTTGAATAATTATATACATGTGCATGCATATTTATATGGAAAATGATTGATCATCTGATTACGAGACATTTTGCATTGTCAGTGCGTTGTTAATCTTTACATTATACTTAAGGCGGTCTGACAGGCATATTTCTACATATTTACGGAGTCAGGTTGCTGCTTTTTCTCAAACTTGTTTTAGATCAAACAGAAACGCATTAGCATGGTCTATTATCTAAACACATGCGGACATTACTCATCAGGTGTTGTGTTTTGTGTTTGGGAAAAATAATACAGGACAGACACACACCTGTTTTGTGTGACCTTTTTCCTTATCACATATATTTATCATATACTATACTACCCATCAACAGTTTAGACTCACTAGTGTAAATGTAGCCACTTACTTCAGTCAACTGTCCTGAACTAGATTTTGCAAAATATTCCATGCTGTTTAAAGGTACTGTTTACACATGAACTGATGTATTGTAAAACAAATTCGTAACGTTGAAAAGAGTATTGTCATGGGTTCAATAAATGGTGAAACTCAGTGAAAATTGGCGAATTCTTAACAAAACTTTACACCAACACGCAGCTGTTCACATGCACGATATTTGCACAGGCTTTTCAGCAATTTGATGTATGATCCTCATGCAATTCATCTGCATAAGGTTTGCAGTTGGTTCCCCCAAGTTAATGGAGAAATTCATCTTCGATGTAACCACATATATATATACATAACATATAGTGAGTGCTTTAACTTTTGATGGGTAGTATAGAATCCAGCTTGCAGCAATGAAGCCTTACAACATGTTTTTCTTTGTGATCATTAACCATTACGCGACTGTTTGCGTTTCTCACGATATGGATGTACACAAACCTGTGCATAATACTGTATAGACGTCAATAAGCATTATAAGAATAAGGATACATCAACAGGTATTACACGTAGCTATGCGCGTTAGATGAAGACAATAATACGGCCGTTGTATTCTCCCATCAGCGTGCACACATGTATACATATATACATACACCATCTGTCGATATGAACACTATTTTATACAGGTCTGTATACATCATTCACATAAACAATGAGTGGTGTGTTGTCTCTATTCACAATCGATATGTAAAATTGTGAACAGATGTATATACACCATCAATATGAACCTATTTTCACGAACGCCTCGTATAGATGTGAACACATGTTTATACATTTCTGTATACACTTTCGATGTGAATAATTGTTCCTACATATCCGTATTCGTAATCGATATGAACATTTATGTATACAAGCCTACATGAATCAACCTCGAGGTTTATAAGCTGTTGTATACACGATCGATATCAACACTGGTTTATAAGGTGTTGTATACGCCATAGATATCAACACTGGTTTATAAACTGTTGTATATATGTACCCTTGATAACGACACTGGCTTATAAACTGTTATATTCGCCATAGATATCAACACTGGTTTATAAACTGTTGTAAGCAACATTGATATCAACACTGGTTTATAAACTGTTGTATACACCATCGATATCAACACTGGTTTATAAACTGTTGTATACACCATCGATATCAACACTGGTTTATAAACTGTTGTATACACCATCGATATCAACACTGGTTTATAAACTGTTGTATATATGTACCATTGATATCAACACTTGTTTATAAGCTGTTGAATACACGGTCGATATCAACACTAGTTTATGAGCTGTTGTATACGCCATAGATATCAACACTGGTTTATAAACTGTTGTATATATGTACCATTGATATCCACACTGGCCTATAAGCTGTTATATACACCATTGATATCAACACTGGTTTATTAGCTGTTGTATGCGCCATAGATATCAACACTGGTTTATAAACTGTTGTATATATGTACCATTGATATCAACACTGGCTTATAAGCTGTTATATACACCATTGGTATCAACACTGGCTTATAAGATGTTATATACACCATCGATATCAACACTGGTTTATAAACTGTTGTATATATGTACCATTGATATCAACACTGGCTTATAAGCTGTTGTATACACGATCGATATCAACACTGGTTTATAAGCTGTTGTATACGCCATTGATATCAACACTGGTTTATAAACTGTTATATTCGCCATAGATATCAACACTGGTTTATAAACTGTTGTATACAACATTGATATCAACATTGGTTTATAAACTGTTGTATACACGATCGATATCAACACTGGTTTATAAACTGTTGTATACACCATCGATATCAACACTGGTTTATAAACTGGTTGTATCGATATATCAACACTGGTTTATAAACTGTTTATATAACTGTTGTATCAACACCATATACACTGATATCAACACTGGTTTATAAGCCATCGTATATCAACACTGGTTTATAAACTGTTGTATACATCATTGGTATCAACACTGGTTTATAAACTGTTGTATACACCATCGATATCAACACTGGTTTATAAGCTGTTGTATATATGTACCATTGATATCAACACTTGTTTATAAGCGGTTAAATACACGGTCGATATCAACATTGGTTTATAAACTGTTGTATACACGATCGATATCAACACTGGTTTATAAACTGTTGTATACACGATCGATATCAACACTGGTTTATAAACTGTTGTATATATGTACCATTGATATTAACACTGGCTTATAAGCTGTTATATACACCATTGATATCAACACTGGTTTATAAGCTGTTGTATACAACATTGATATCAACACTGGTTTATAAGTTGTTGTATACACCATTGGTTTATACGCGCATTTATATGCAATTGAATTAACACTTTTTCATACACATTCTACGCAATCCATATGAGCATTTGTTCATAATCATGATTATACGCAATCGATATCAACGTTTATTTGGATCAATGTATATGCAATCGATGAGAACATTTGTTTATACGCATATTTTTTTTTATATATGCAATGGATGTGAATATTTGCTTATAAACATATGTATACTTTATTCAATCGATATGAACACTTGTTTAAACGCATATGTATACGCAAACGATTTTTATTTTCACTTCTGTATACCCTCCGATATGAACAAATGCATACACACATCTGTATTAGTTCATACACGTCTACAATAACATTGTTTGTCTTGCCAACAGGCACACAACCGCTTGGTGTCACTTCTGGGAAAGACAAATATAAAGATAGACCAGGAACAGAGCTTTGCAGTGGATCCGGAAGCAGCATTAGAAAAATTAAAAGTGCGTATATAAATATTTTGCAAAATTAAAGGAATATAGGTGTTTTAACATCCAATATGTATAACAATGCCTGTGTTATAGAAAGGATACCATAGATCATGGTCAAGAAGATACACAAGCTTCTATCAGACATGGTAAATGCTATGCAAGTATTTCGATGTCCCTAGTCCTCCATTACGCAGCCACTTTAGTTTGGGAATGGAAATATTGCAGTGTATGCGTTGAAATCTTGTTACTCAAAGAGGCTTTACCTTCGAGGATAATGTTACGTTATTGTCCAGGAACCAAGATCCAAGATTGTGTTCGCCTTTTCAGTCTTGACGTTATCTAGTTGTCATGGGTAGATGTTGGAAATAACTTGTAAAATTACACTTTAGGATCCATTTTTCTGCACAGGCATTAATTGATAGTCTATCTATGTTCGCAGGCGGAGGATATACGGATAATACTGGGGAACTTTGACGAAAGCACCGCCAGACGAGTATTCTGTGCCGTACGTATTGTGCCCAAGAACACTGCTTTATACTCACACTGCTTTATACTCACACGCCTTCTCCTGCAGGAGACACTTTGGATGCTTGGTCTTACGTCATAGAATATTAAGGAGTTTACTTTGTGGAAAGCTTTGCTTGGCTGTTTACATAATTAAAATTCACCCTCACGACAGGGAGTTCTGCAACCAATTCATTTATGATGCTGTTTGAAATAATGGACGTAAAACGTCTCCTCGTGTGAAACAGAAACACGACTTTAGATAAACGTCATATTATACTAGACACTGGGGCGAGATCCGATTTATCGTGTTTATTCATTCTTAATGTTCAGTAAATGTTGATATGAGACATTTTTATGACTGTTTCATTCGGCGAAATAGTACTGTCCTTGTGTACAGACGAGGTGTGCAGTTATATATAGCTCAGTAGGCTAGAACCATACATCACGTTTCCTCTAGAAATGTTACACCTGTCAAAGTAGTATAAAGTTGTGCAATATATGTATATGGTTGTGAAACCTCAAACATGAACACTTTTTCTCCCTGCGTATAGAATAAAAACTTATTGAGCCGTTACTGTTTATAACTCGTGAAGATCTTCATCAACCCATGCTTGTAATAGGCGACTAATGGGAAAAGGGTGGTCAGGGTCGCTGGCTTGGTTGATGCATGTCACCCTATCCAAGTTGATGTGTCAGCGAGTCTGACCACCCGATCCCGTTAGTCGCCTCTTACGGCAAGCATGGGTTGCTGAGGACCAATTCTAATCCCTTATGGATAAGAGTCTTCAAACCATATATCCGAGACCTACGAAGAAGCCTTAGGTAATTGCTGTTGCAAACCTGTGGATATTCACCTGGCATGGTATTACACAATGTTATTACACGATTTCGTATTTTCGTGACGTTTTCATCCATTAAGTCATGTATTGCACAATAATGAGGTCACGAATCACGTGAACATTTTAGTGATGCATACGTTTTCGAAAAATGGGCATGTTTATCGTGCTTGGCGTTAGCGCCAGCGGTGTAAGGTCAAGTTCAGCGCAAAGTTGGCCAAAGAAAAGATAGATAATAAATCATTACCAAATGCACAAGAAATTCACGATAATAATAGCTCAAAGAAAGAAAGCGCAGTTTATTGTGAACGGGAGAGGAAATTGAGCCGGATATAGCAATACCACGTTTGGCTGTTGGGCAACTATTCAAGACATCGGACAAGTCCTTTTTCATTACGCTATTACAACTTTGCATTTCTGGTACGTGTGCACAACTTAGCGATGTTTGAACACCATCTCTTGGATAATTCCTGCATTGATTTAGGTCAGGGAATTTGTCTGGCACCACTAAACCGTCGTCTAGTGTAAACACAAGAGTAGTGTCTCAACTAGGCTAGGTGTACTGTGGCTGAGCCTGTGACGTTACTATTTGCGTCGCAGTCGTCGTATTGACGTTACAAACACTGCTACACTCTCTGACACGGGGTGAACGTGGGAACTGGATATCCCGACAGCTGGAGAAACACGTGGGAACTATATCTCTAAACTGCAGGAGAGACCATTGATAATAACATTAATAAATTGGGCAACGCTGCTGTTTGCTTGTAAAGATTACTTATTTGTGTTCAGGATCTATTATGTGCTCGGGTTCAACAAAGACATTATTTAGATTGAAACTCATCGATCGAAATTGATTATGCTTGAATTGACTGATTTTAAAGCTGATGTCGATGAGGACAGTTCTAATCAGACAAATGGATTCATATGAATCATAGATATCTGTGATGATTTTTATTATGATTTCCATGTTTGATAAATCGTTGATAGATATTAAAATGAAACTACGTACAGTTACGCAAAGTGCAGTTAACGAATCTATTCGGAATTTAATGCAAAATATAAATAAAGACTTTCCCAACAGAAAGCGACCGGAAAGCATAGTGTCTGGACTACCTGGGTCTCACTGTTTGGTAATTCGGGGTCTCACTGTGCTATTCTATCCTTCAAGACAGGCTCACAAGAAACAAATGTACGGCGCTCGCTATCAGTGGATGATAGTAGGGGAGTACGAGGATGCGGGATGGTGGAAAAAACCTGACTCGAAGATCACGTGTACAAAGACGGAGATGAATGAGACGGTGTATGGCTGCCTAACAACGGACCTCCTGGAGCTTAGCAGCAGTAACGAAACAACTGTCTCAGGATTGGTCAGTTTTTAACCAATCGTCTTGAGATTAAGTTTGAATATGTAGTTATGACTTAGATAGTCGGAATATGACAAAAGTATTTTTTGTTGCATTTTACGTTATATTGCCTTGCATGACTGGTGCTGCCTCGTATGACTCGTGAACATTCGGGTTAGAAATGATCTTCAGTAACCCATGCTTGTCGTAAGAGGCGACTGACGGGATCAGGTGGACAGGCTCGCTGACTTGGTTGACACGTGTCATCGTATCCCAAGTGCGTAGATCGATGCTCGTGATGTTTATCACTGGATTGTGTGGTCCAGACTCGATTATTTACAGAGCGCCGCCATATAGCTGGAATATTGCTGAGAGCCAACCTGGCTGTATTCACGTATAATTCACCAAAGTGACAGAAGCTTGAGTTTTGTTTGCTGACTTTCCTCTTGCATCGAGTGACACGCCGTGATAACCGGCCTGTATAAGGCACTGTGGACTTCCAATTGCACAAAGACAACGTTCTTCCTAACTATGTAACATCAATCTTGCACTTACACTTTGAGTTCATAGAATAGATTCGAATGTTATATGTTCATGATTGTAATAGATCTAAATAAATTGCTCAGGCTTATGTAAAGTTCCTTATAACATTATCTAAACACAGGTCCGCTGAATAGCCTTGGGGTTTCTGATTCACCAAGAATAAGGGCCACATTTAAAGAATACATGCATGTAACATATGTTATATTTGACCACTTTCTAAATGGCATTGTGTATTCACAATACATATAGTCTTTTTGAGGATACCCATGGTGATATTATTAATACAAAACAGTGCCACAAAGGTTCTCACTTAATTTACTCACTCTTTAGTGATGTCGACACAGTATGGATAATCTTCCTTTGTTCTGATGCTAACCGATTCCTTCCAGCGTCCATCAGCTTACGAAGCCCTCTATAAAGAATGGAGCGGCACCCAGTTTAGCAAGTTTCATGGCTACGCCTACGACGGCGTGTGGGTGATCGCCAAAGCCATTGACACTCTTCTGACGGGTACCAATCCGGACCTCATCTCGGAGGACACTTTCAGAGGTCCCAACGTCGGCAAGGTGCTCAATGAGACGAACTTCCTAGGAGTGACGGTACAGTCGTTTAGAGTCTGGAATAATACTTCATGATTAGTAGGGGCTATTTGGTTTATCATTTCAATTGCCCAACTGTATTAATACAGTCAACTCTGGATGTAACGAATACCGAGGAGGTACCTAATAAATCTGAGTCGGTTACTAATCTGACAAGCTGCGAGATGATAATAATAATACTGAAAATTTATATAGCGCTTAATCCAACCACTAAGTGGTTGCTCAAAGCGCAGAGAGATTCTTCTTGGTGGAATTCTATTAAATTCAGTTAAGTCCATGATTTCCTCTGTAATACTTTGTTATTTCTGAAACTGACAAAATACAATTTTATGAAGTTATTATAGTTTTAGACCCTGGTATTGGGACCAAATTCATCAAATCCAAACTTATTAACCTGTAATAATCCTCCTGGATCTGTCTCCATTTCCGATTTGGATATTTCCGACTTAATAATAATTATCAACTGGATACTCTGTTTTCACTTGCACATCGTCAAACGTGGTGAACTAAACCCTCGTGGCACTGGTGGACTACTCAAAGTGATGGAAAATGTGCTGCCATTGCCGAATAGAGAAATATTTTTAAGCTTTATAAATAAAAAATAAATAATTTTGAATGATTTGAAGAGATTTTATCTCATCCAATGAATCTCTTCCTATCTGATGAACCAGGATATTACTTAAGGCGGGCTAACATCGCTGATTCCTCCTTGCTGCCTTTTCTTCTGTTGTAATATCCGTTTCTGTAAGACTTTGTTACCGAAGATCAGATTGGAATCGTTCTTTTTCTCTCTTGTAATCATTTATAAAGTTTCAGTTTGTTTTAATATTTGCCACAGGGATGATATAGATTTTGGTTACATAAAGTAATATGCAATCTAGCCTTGAGTTGCTTCAACAGTGGAGGAATGGCTTAATCTGCTTGATGATTTATAATCCAAGACTTGTCGAAATGTCAAAGGAATAATTGTCATCGAACTTTTTCAGCATTAGCTTAGAATGCTATCACAAGGTTGATGTCAAATTGTAAAGATCGGCGATGCAGATTGATATTGTAGAACTATTGATCACGCTCGAACAAAGGAAATGTAGGCTTACAGAGGAAAATTGTTTTTAACCATTGTAAACTATATTGTGACATTTAAGAGAGTTACTGTTGACATATTCTCCTGTAAGATTTGTGGTAAAGTGTTTATGTAAAATGGCGATACATCCACACAACGATATACTCACCTCCTTGTATATCTCAAGGGCAGGGTTCAATTCAACAATGGCGATCGGCTCGGGCAGATCCGCATCCGGCAAATCACAGGTGAGTACAGTCTTTGGAAACACACTTCAGTCATATAAGATGGTTGTCGTTGTTCTTGTTGTTATAACAATACTTGAAAGAAAGTAAACACCATGACCTTAAAGTAAAACCCTTTACAAGTATTATTCCTGCAAGGTACCTGTGCAGATAAGGTGTTCGCCTGTAACACATATGTTTTGTGTTCTGTTCTCAATATGTGTGCAGCTGAACCCATTTATCCATAAGTGCTATTGGCAATCATGATGTTACAATAATTTCACTAAACTGCTAGGCAAAGAAAGTGTACCGGAATATAAACGTTATGAAAACGTTACGAGGCCGAAAACAGTCATTGCAAAGCTGCTTTCTTAAGGTCCAAAACTAATCAAAGACCATCGAATAACAAATTTTGTTTGTCCCATTTTAAGCCACCGTCAAACAAGGGCATATACTTTCTTGTCTTGCAGTTTAGTACTCGTGTTATCCTGTTATCATGATGTGACCCCACCCACTGACTTGAACCTGGTGTTCTCATATCACTACATCTTCACCTCTATGTTTAGCAGATGGGAAAATGGTGGAAATAGCTGAATACCACGCCTCAACTGATAGTCTCAACTTCCACCGCGAAATTCAGTGGAGAGGTGAAATGATTATTTTAATGTTCTTCTGCCTTTTTCACTTTTTGTTTACGAACCTATTACATCATCAGACATTGATAGCGATTTATAGACAGACACTTTTTGGTTTTTTCGGGATCGTAAAATGGAATTTTCTCTCAGTAAAGATTTCTTATGATCACGGAATTTCTTTTGGTTTTAGTTTTTTCTTTACTTCTAAATTTTTGTTACCTCACATGCATAATCGTGAATATCACGATGAGGGAATGTTGGAGTGAGTGAGTGAGTTTAGTTTTACGCTGCACTCAGCAATATTCCAGCTATATGGCGGCGGTTTGTAAATAATCGAGTCTGGACCAGACAATCCAGTTATCAACAGCATGAGCATCGATCTGCGCAATGGGGAACCGATGACATGTGTCAACCAAGTCAGCGAGCCTGACCACCCGATCCCGTTAGTCGCGTTGTTTTACCCTGTGGCACAGTAACTAAGTTATCTAAGGCGGGTCTTGTTTTTGTCGTTCCGGGAACCCCGGGTGGTACTACTGAATCCAAATCGTGAAGACCTTGATCCTTGGTATATCGGTACCACATGGTGCTTATCGTAATAGATGGTAACCAAAGTGATGAACTTTATGACCTGCCTCACACTGGGATGTCCTACCTGAAGAGGCTGACTCACTGAAATACCTGAAAGTGTCAAAACCTGAACCACACACCTGCAACATGGCATTGTGCAACTTTAACGCTGGGATGAGTGAGTTAGTGAATTTAGTTTTACACCGCTTTTTAGCAATATTACAGCAATATCACGGCGGGGGTCATCAGAAATGGGCTTCACACATTGTGAGCATGTGGGAAATCGAACCCGGGTCTTCGGCGTGAGGAGCGAACGCTTTAACCACTAGGCTACTCCACCGCCCCTAACGCTGGGATGTCCTGGTCCGGGTACTCAAAATATGTGAATGATTGATGATTGTGGATAATTGATGAGTTTTGTTTTGTTTGTTGTTTAACACCGGACTCAGCAATATTCCAGCTATTGGCGATCTGTAAATAATCGACTCTGGACCAAACAATCCAGTGATCAATAGCATGAGCAAAGGTCTACCCTATTGGGATACGATGACATGCATCAACTAGGTCAGTCAGTCTGACCACCCGATTCCGTTTGTCGCCTCTTACGACAAGCATGGGACCAATTCTAACCCGGATCTTAGCGGGTTATGATTGATAAGAATGAACATTACCTGGATCGAAAATCAAAGTGGGTGTTGTTTTTATGTACAGTGATGGTATTGAATATTTTACACGGATAACGACAAAGTCAAATCCTGACCATTCCAATATTTCCATTGTAACAGGAAGCGGGCCTCCCAAAGACCGGAACATTGAGTACCCGGAGATGCGGCGGGTCTCAGTGGCTGTGTACAGCAGTTTGTGTGTGTTGTCTGCCCTTGGTATCATCATGGCCGTGGGCTTCCTGACTCTCAACATTCTGTACAGGAGACACAGGTGAGAAGCTTTCATTTGTTATTCACCCCTTCGATAATGGTTGACTTTTGACGGAAATGAATATGCATGTTTATAAATAGTAACTTCTCTGCAGTGACGAAAAGATTTTGGGGTCTGTCGGGGCTACCACTCGCCTAAGTAGCGTAACAATGTGTTCGTCACTGAGGGAGGCCAGAAACCTATGATCGTTGGTTCGAATCCAATTGACACACACACGCACAAACACGCACACGCATGCAGGCAGGCACGCACGCACGCACGCACGCACGCACACACTCGTGGATATAGAATTGCATCATGTCGATCTACTTCTCGGTAACCTTTCAATAAGATTTTACGGATGACCAAATTACATGACTATCAGCGGCAAATATTACAGCAAATTCTGTTTGCTGCAGTGATGCGGTACACTAACCACAATGCAAGAAAATCGAGCTTTAGACCCTTCTCCATCTGCAAACATAACGCAGGCCATCTTTGCTTCTTTCCGAAAATAGATTTACTTCAACCTTCCTATAACGCAGCGCCTGCAATAGGACACGATTCAGAAGTAATTAGCTATCTCAGGAAAATGTGTAACAACATTGTGATAAGAACTTTAACAACCCTCATCAGTGCTGCCTCAGAGCACACACACACACACAGACATACACACACACACACACACAACATCCATCCATGCCCTTATGAAACTGCATATTGACTGATAATTGGATTAACACTAAAAGCGTAACCGACGAAATTTCATTTACAACGTTAAGCTCAAAACGCCTGCGACAAACCATGCAGAGGAGCACAATCAGCTGATGAAGCGTGGTCCAGTATATCATATGCTTACTTTGAAGGTAGCGGTAAAGTTAAAATCAGCGTTAGAAGGTTGACAGATCTTATGCACGTTTAAGATTAGAGTTTTTGTCAAAGAGGGTATAACGTCCCTGGCGTATCATAAACCGCAGAAAAAATCAAAGCCCTCGCGATCGTTATTCCACCGTATTAAACTAGTTCGCAGAGGCCGAAGACGTTGAGGATACCGCCTTCCAATTGCCTAGTCGATCAAGCTGCTATTAGACATAATGCCGATCCAGCGACTAAGGCGAGTGAATTATTGGATTTTATTGTCAATATGCGGCATAATAGGATCTAAAATGCTACAATTGATTCTCGTGCCTGTCAGAAATCGTCGGTGTCAGAAGGAGGGCTCAGTATAGAACCTCAACACGTAAATCCTATGTCGTTACCAATACCGGTTAATGCCAGGATGACTAGATGCAGATTTCAACACATTTTCAGACCGTCAGCCTAAGGCGCTTCTACAAATCAAAATTTTCATAAACTTCTAAAAAATCACTACTCCGAGATTAGGTCCTGGTAATACCGATTGGGATTCTGCAAGTTGGTGGGCAATATTAAAGTTGCACATAAAAAATCAACTGGTTGGCTGGATCCGTTGAGCCCGTGACTATAAATTGCTGAGATTGTGGTCCCACTCTTGGTTGCGTGAGTTGTTAAAGTGACAACCAATTGTCTGTGGCCTGATTAAAGCGCAAAGTGCAGCAGAAAAGACGTTATTGATGACCTGACGGGGGCGCCACGTGTGTGATTACCGAAGGGTTAGATCCTCAAGTGAAATGCAAATAAGGTGATCCGCTGTTTGGCGATCTGGGCATCATGGTGTGGAGGATACATTCCGGGAAGCTGAGACAACATCATCCAAACATGGTATGGTAATCAGTCTGCCACCAGAGCTCCCCACTGAGACGACGTTTTTGCAGAGGAATCTAATTACCTACTATATGTCGTTAAAGACGCATCATATATGTCTGTATCTGATGTGATGTACTGAACACAAGGAGCAACTGATCTTTGTCTGTGTTCTTTACAGACACCAGCTCTTGTAATGTAATCCGCATCTGGACTGGTCCTGTGTCAACGCAGACTAATTAGAAAACGTATATACATTTATTAAAATACTTTTTAGGAAATTGGCCCATCTCTTATATGTGTGGCGTTGACAATGTTTTGTCCCTGCCACATGTCTTTGAAATGTATAGTTTAGCAATGACCATGCATTACTTGGTAATCCTTAATGCATCACAATCGAAGACAGTGTGTAGGCTGTTGTAACTATAAACTTTGAGAAGACGACAGGAGAAATTCTCTTGAAAATTAGTTTTTGACTAAGTCGATAACATTTTGGTTGAAGGGAAGAAGAAAGAAGAAACTTAAAGCTGGATTTGTCCAAACATTCATTTAAACGTTAGTAAACAGAATAGTTGCCAATACACTGCAAACTTGAGACCCAAAGCGCAAGTTGCTGATGCTGGCTTCCATTTGTTCCATCGTTTAGCCTGAATCTGTTGTCATATTACTTCTGCTGTTCTTACATGTACGTATATATGCGTTCTGCCCCATACCAAACTTTCACCCGATGAAGGTGTTCCTCGTAATAAAGAAGTTGACATCCATAAAAGGCTCTCTTCTTTATGTATATTACTTCTAAATGCCATTCAAAGACTTGTTGATGCAGTGTGTTACCCGTTACAACTGCATCAGCATTGAATAGCCATTTCGGGGTCGTTTTATTTGTAGCCATCATCAAACATGGGGGTATACATTCGACAAATAGGAATGTTAAAATTGCAACCAGCTGCCGATTATCAGTATATGCAGAGAAGACACAAGCGCAATATGCAACATTGATAATATTCATATTTAATTAGTGAGTGCACTCGCCAGTCATCTGTCGACGTGCTTAATCATGTATTCTAAGATGCTTTTCTAAAAGATCAAAGGCGCCGACAGTACCTTATCAGGCGATAAAGTGCACTTTTTGCATGTCGTCACACTGTATTGACGTCACTACGCCATTCTCGTCTGCACACTTGTTTTCAAACGAACCGACGTCACGATGCATGTCAGTTGTCATCGCCTCAGACAGCCTTCTATAGTAAACTACTCCGTAGCACCCCGCTTCATGGTTAGCAGTTGCTTAGCTCGGCTAACATCGCTGGTGGAAACATTAGGTTTATGTTTTTCGGCGGACAAAATTGTCTCAGTTCAACTCACGATTTAACGGCAACACGGCAACGTTCGCATTGTTTACCTTTCCACAATGCATCCGTGGAATGTCGAGTGAGCAGTCAGCTTCATCTTGGTATAGTGATACGTTGGTAGTAGAAATGCGACGTTCATTTCGCCCCATATGATTTACGTTAATGACAGAGGTGATTAAAACAAGTTTGAGAAGGTATTTAACCCGAATGTAAACCGTCATCAAACTGTTCATCACTTGTTTATCTGGTAACGTGCGTCTAAACGTAGGGTGGGGGGCAGTCACGTCAATAGAATAGCGTCAGTTAGCCCTGAGCGAGGATTGTTAATTTAGGTCACCGACACCGTCATTTTTCTGTCTGTTTTCTGCCTTAGATTAATTGTAATTAAGCTAGGAAAGTATTAGATTTGGCATCTTAGAGACGCGTTCAGGGCAAAAGTGTACTTTAAAACACTATACATGTGGTCAGAGCGAAGTGTATTTCGTAATCAGGGGATCAACGTCATGTCTATTCACAGCCAAACATCCACGTCAACTCCGTGCACGTGTACAATTTACGTAGAAATACAAATATGGGCGACATGACCTTGACGCAGAAAGTTTATTTAAGAACATTTAATGAAATATATTGAAATGTCAGAAAGAGATTACTTCATTTTTAAATGAAATAGTTTGAGAAAATCATAGAATAGTCTTTATGTTTTACACCAAGAATGAATCTATGTCAAACTTTCAGAAAACAAATGCGAAATATAATGTTACTCGTCCAACACACATGACATGGTCGTACCCTAAGCATCTGACCATACACTGAAAACAGTGGCCGTTTGCCAAATGAACACGCCAAAGTGCATTCTGAACATTGCAGAATTTCTGCAGAAGAAATCAGCAGGCTGTGACTTCAGCATTATTCAGAAACAGGAGACTTTTCAAGAAATGTCCAATTAAGTTCACGTAGCTACATCTGTTTTTGTTTTTCTAACTACATGTTTTCATCTATATATGTAAATAGAGGAGACAAAACCCTTTCCTTATCCATAAGAAGTCGATCCCCCATTTTCCGACTACCCCAGATGTTAGTGTGTCTGAATAGCCTCAACGTTTCCCCACAAACAGCCGGTATCCACATTAACCAGCTCTACAGTGGAGATTCCTCAGGATTGTGAAATTTTCCTTTTCTGATCTATGTGACAGTCATGTCAAAATTGTGACGTCTCATTCATTTTTTTCATTTCTTTCTAGATATATCAAGATGTCGAGTCCAAATATGAACAACCTGATTATCATTGGGTGCATCCTGTGTTACCTCAGTGTGTTCCTATTGGGGACGGACGGCGGAGTTGTCTCCCGTTCATTGTTCCGGTATTTATGTCAGGTGAGCTAAATTTTCTTTCATTTGTAAGTTCAGAATATTGATTGTAAACTAGATTTTGTTGATAGATAAGATACATATACTAGCCACATAGTGTCAAAATACGATAACAATGTCAAAAGTACATATAAACTTTATTGGGGGGATCATGAGACCATAACAAGTCGGGAGAATTTCAATTGAAAAGTCAATCACAATGACGTCACGAGTCCACAAGCAGGACAGGAGTCAAACGACCATGTCACAAGCTCCATAACGGGTATGTCCACCATCGACATTGAGAACAGCAGTGCATCGACGACGCATAGAGCCTATCAAACGTGCAAGGAAGGCTTGTGGGATGTCACGCCAGATTCTCTCAAGTTCTGTTGCAAGGTCAAGGACGTTATCTGGCGGATGAGGAAGACGGCGTAGACGTCGATCCATCTCGTCCCAAACATGCTCTATCGGGGAGAAATCCGGTGAATTTGCAGGCCAAGGCAGTAAGTCAACGTTGTGGTGTTGCAAGAAATCCATAGCAACCCTTGCCGTATGAGGGCGGGCATTGTCTTGTTGGAATGTTAACCCAGGGCCATGATATTGCAGAAAAAAGAATTGCCACAGGTCGAAGAATCTGATCCCTGTAGCCCACACCAGTTACGTTGCCCTGAACAATCACCAAAGGAGTTCTTTGGCGTGCTGTTATTCCACCCCAATCATCACGGAACCACCACCAAAGCGATTCCTCTCCAAGACACAGGCCTGTGCATAACGTTCTCCCACGTTGACGTCCATCACTATGGGAATGTTAAACCTGGACTCATCTCTAAAAACAACATTTCTCCACCAAAACAAGGGTCTGCGGACATGATTTTGGCACCACATTCGGCGAGCTTGTCGATGACGTTGTGGCAGGATAGGCCGTATGGCGGGACGTCGTGGTCTGATCCCGTGATGGCGTAAACGTTGTCGAACTGTGTTGGGGTGGATACGGCGAAGTCCTGGGATGGTTCGGGCAGTCATCACTGTAGTCTGAAACCTGTGGCGAAGATGGGTCACCCTTATCCATATGTCCTGTCTTGGCGTTGTTGCACGTGGAAGTCCAGAACGTGGCCGATCGATGACGTCATTTGTGTCACCAGTGCAGAAATGGTGTTCCGGTGGCAGTGGAAATGTGCAGCCACTTGTCGTTGAGACATTCCCCGACGGACCATCCCAATGGCCTCATGACGTTGTGCAGACGTGAGCCTTGGCATGCTATGCGTTTCAATAGCCGTTTAATTTTTTGATAATCGCAAGGGCAGGGGTTGAGCAAGGGCACGGTGAAATTCACCATGCAGATAAATAATAAATCATGAAGGGAGGGGAGGGGAGAAACTACGTAACTACGTAATGAAACATATTTGCGAACAAAGTTTTATTTAGATTAGAATGTAACAATGTATTTATAGTCATGATACGTTGGTGTGGATTGCATTGTTTAAGTGACGAGTTTCAGGATCAATATTTCTATTTATTTGGATTCCTTTTAATATCATTCGTAAAATGTTGAAAAGATGAAATGGTACTTTATCAAGTATTTAGCAAGGTTAATATCAAGTAACAACACACAGTTGATGTAAATGATGCTTCACAGATACAATCCACATGGCGCCTGAGTAAGTGAGTGGGGTTTTACGCCGCTATTAGCAATATTCCAGTAATATCACGGCAGGGGACACCAGAAATTGGCTTCACACATTGTACCCAATTGGGGAATCAAACCCGGACCTTCAGCGTGTCGGGCAAACACCTTATCAGTGGACTACTCCACCGCCCCTCATGTCGCATAAATGCTGCGTTGGTCAATACAATATCACATAAATACATTTATTACTGAAGCTATGGGCGGCTGAATCACCCGAATCTTTGAAGATACAACATGCATCATGTCATGGTTGCTTTCACGACAGGCAAAAGCTTTTGGCATTATTTTCAGAACAATAAGTATGTTTTCCCTAAAAACATGTTATTGTCATTCATGTTCACGAAGATGCTCTTTGTCACTTCGAATAACCTTTATTGAAAGGCACATTGTGTTACGCACTGGCTTAGGGACATTAATCTTCTATCAAAACCGTTTTCTCATTTCATGATTCTCAACATTCAATATCCATATTTACCTTATAGATCAATCATATAAGCGTGTAAATTATGAATGGTATGTAAATAAAATTAGCATTACTTTTGAACAAATATTAGGGCAGAAACAGTTTGTTAACAGGGTCTATATTGATTATTTGATGCTCGGTAAACTCGAGGCACGAAAGAACCTTTATCCTTATTAGGTGTGCTATATGCAAAACGAATGTCTATAATCCTTCGAGAGCTTCTCCCGCGTTAAAGCCTCTAATTGACTTATAAATAGGTGCCGTTATTTTAGCGCCTCATTACTTTCCACTTTCGATAGCTGTTTGGCCTTCAGAAGACCAGTTCCTGGGCTGTGTGGTCATTATATCAAGCAGATAAGCAAAAACTACCCGTAGATTGAATTCGATGTCAGTCAATATGGTCCAGCATGTATTCCCTGACAGATTCAAAGCAAGTACAATGGGAAGAACGCAATCCCGTAAATTATTCCATCAAGAGCAGCATCGGGCATGTTTGTGTAGATATATATTCTCATATGACTTCCGCGACAGAAGTTTGCACGGGTTATCAGACTGTAATGATCTCATTCGTTTCACCTTCAGTGCAGACTGTGTCTCGTCAATGTAAGGCTGCTAACGTTATTTGATCACAACCATCTTTCGGTACCCACAGTACATGCTCGTCCTAATATAACTTTGAAACATGTTCTGCGTTTTGTGTGAGCGTGATAATCTCGTTACACCAGCTTGGCTGAGCAGGTCGCCTATCTGTTGTGATCTTGTAGTAAGTTGGGGCAACTAACACGATGTTCTCTGTGGGTCATTAGATCAGACAAGATAGTTGTTTCACATCGCTACCTGACACCAATCCGGCGTTAAATCTGATGAGGTGGAGTAACACTGTTTTTATCACAGCCTGAACATCTGACGTTTTCTTCCAGATCCGTGCCTGGGTGTTGGCCCTGGGCTTCACGTTGGCGTTTGGGGCCATGTTCAGCAAGACGTGGAGGGTACACGCCATTTTCACCAACATCAAACTCAATAAGAAGGTAAACTTCCCCTTTGTTGTTTATCTGATTAGCACCAAACAGGCCATTAGTGCCAACGGTTCATGTACCACCAAGCCCGTTGAGCGTCATTGCATAAAAGTTTGCCAATCAAGCGTAAGAAACGTATAACTGATGGTGGTATTTATTTCAATCAAGGCCGTCGGATTGACTTACATGACAGAAAGCATGTGATCGGTAACCTGTTGAGTCGGGGAATCACATTACGTACTTCCTGATACAAGCATGCCGTGGCTGAATCTAGTTTAAACATTGTATATTGACATAACACAATAGAACGCGACGAAAAGTATCCCGTCTGCAGATCCCATCCCTTGGTATATCAAGACAATGGCATCACTGAAATTGACATTGACTAGATACAACGCGCAGGGAAACTAACATTTAACTATCTGATGGCTATAGCTTAATTTAGCTGAGGTATTGACTACATAATAATTGCGTTATCTGTGGCAACATTTATCAGTGAAACGGTGATATGAAAATTTAACGGTATAAGTTATGATTATTGGAAACATTTGGATGCTACGATGTGTTACTGAGCAGACATATTATATTGAACTTTCGTATAATTGCCAAGAGAATTTTGCTTTTAAATTCGGTAGAAATCTTGATACTTTTCTTTTGAACATAAAATCTTGTTTAAATATGGTCTCTATTTCTTCTGCTTGTATTTTAACACGTCACATTGATTGTCGGTGCAGTTATCCGAGAATTCATACGAACATTCTGATTTTGGTCAAATAATAGAGATAACACTGTAGATTCATGATAGTTATTTATTTCTTTACTTTGAACTTAGAAACCTCAAAAGCAAACCAATTTGAATACCTATATCTCAGACTATGTGTCATCATCGCTGTGACTAGGCGTTACGAATATGTTTTCTATTATTTCAAAGTTGTTCTTTTCATCGAAAATACCCATTAGAGAGTCCATGTCAGAAAAGCACTGTACAATATACTTCTGGATTAAAGGCTTTGGACTGAAATCAACATGTGTATATACATATCTATTCTGATGAAACCGTTACCTTATCGATCAGTTTTATTCAGAACAGGTGTTTTATTGGTTTACCCTTTACTCAAAGAGCAACCGTGGACTGTTTTAAGATTACGTTTTCGATTTCAGCTTTAAACAAATCGCTCTCCATGCCTGTTTCACTAAAGGAAATCATGTTGTCCCACAATTCTTCATTCTCTCTGGCTTGGATTGCACATAGGAAGATTTGAAACAGAGCTTCTATGACTAGTTTCGCCTAATGGACTCGCATTAATGTGATTATTAAACAGACAAAACATTACTAATAAAATAATAAGGCGTCCTTATGTCTGCTATTCTTTATCAGTGACTACTCATACAAACTCAGAGAAGTCACTTTCAATTTGGTAACCTGACATTCACAGTGACCATGGAAGCACTAGAAGTATGCTTTACACTGTCCAGATGTGTGTACCAATGTACCACCTATATAAGTGCATTAAGTATTTACGTTTTCATGAGAACAGAATATTATTCTGGGTTATACAAGTAAACGTGTACTAAGCATGTCATTTGCTTACAAAAACCTTGCATATCACCCTTCCATATCGGAGTTCATGCAGAGATTTCATCTTGGCATACGGTGTCTTCAACTGCCATGCCTTCGTGTCACGCACAGAGTCAAAGACAAAAATCGATATAGGTTACGTATTTTATCAGTCTCACCACTTGAACCAAACCGAACCAGCAGATGAGGATTTTATGCTGTGCTTAATGTTATATTCAGATTCAACATTATGAAAAGCACATGGCTCCGTGTGCCAGTTTGGTGGAGCCGAACGTCTTCTGTATGCCGTGAATGCGGAAGTACAAGTGTTATATGCCGGTTGCTTGTTGGGGATTTATTGACATGTAAAATTGAAATAGCCCCAAGCTGTTTTATTACTTTGTTTTCAAAACATTTGTTTCAAGTGTAAGCTCGACTAGGATATTGAAATAATAAAATCGAAATTGCGTTATGATTAATATTGGTTTTTAAGAAATGTTCATTCTCCATTCGGATTAGACTTTCTGGTGAAAATCACCATGGCTCTGATGGCCCGGATGCATGTCAATGTGTTGCGTGTTTTATTGAACAGTGTATTATGAATGGGTCTGAGTAAAGACACTTTAACTTGAAGGCAATACTGATCATTTCCGGTCCAAAACTTTCTTTCCTATTTTCTCAATATAACATTTATTGATAATTGTTGAAGCACAGCAGCAAATTGCATCTGTTGTTCACATGCGCAAATCATTAGGGCTGCTTAAAATGGATTGGAAGCAAATAACAAGTCATTATTTTCTTCATGACAATCTTGACATAAAATGTCAATAACTGTAGTATTTTAGAATTATTACGTTTAATAACAATCAGTAGTAGATGAGCGAGACCCAAAACACATTCATCTACCAAAACGAAGGCCTCGATGGCGCTCAAGTTGTTTGAAACTTTAAAGCTTTAAAAGCATGTACATATCTCACAACAGATATCCTAAGTGGAAGGTAATAGTCTTCAGAGCAATTGATTATAAACACTTAAATATGAAATCAGAGTCTACAAGCACATTACCAGTTTCGGTCTCACCCTACCAGCCCTGCATCAGCGTTCTGCCACCGTTCTGCCAGCGTTCTACTGGCCTTGGCTTCAGGTCCTTCCCAGGCTTATAGAAAGGTTTACAGTAACGATCAAGGACTTATATATGGGCTGTTATTCTGAAATTGTGTGCTTCGGGGCCTGCCTCTATGCCGGCGCCGGAACGATTGTGTCAGTATCAAAGTGTTGTAAGACTGTTGATGTCAAATCCGTGATTTTCCGCTATGTCGACCATATTAGATTTTACACTTAATTGTGTTGCATCCTTATCGCCTGCGGTTATCGGACTTTGGTATTTCACACCTCTTTCCATTTTGGGAAGCGATGTTATAAATATCAATAAAGTCATTAGGCGAGTCGGCACAGCTCTTGTTCCGCCGAAGAACCATGCCCCGCCATAGCGTTGAGCAATGTCCGTTATGCTATGGAATGAAGCTCAGCATTTACCATCAAAGTACCAGTCTTCAATGCTTAGTGTACCATCAACGATGTGACAACAATAGATAGTGATGGGTGGCGGGACTCATCAATAATCTCAATGCTCTCTCATTGTAAGAAGTCACCCATGTTTGTCACCCCATTACTGGCAACAACGACGGGCAGTTGTGAATAAGACGCCTCTTTAGCCTCACAGAAACCAGATGACTTGGCCGATTGTCACATATTCCAAAGAGACCTTGTCAGTTTATTCCCTTCAAAATGAACTGCGTTATTTACCAGCAGGCGGTTGGTTTGCCAAGTGATTTTAGGGAACTCGTCTTGGTGACGTGTTATGTTCAGTACCCAAAATGAGGGTAATATACGAATCCCATTCCGTCCCTCGAGTTGCTGTCTGTATATTGGTAAAAGCGACGTAAAACCGTCGAAGTGGAATGGTGAAGTTAAGAAAGGCGGATAGCTCTTAATAAATGCTGTTTGATCCAGGGAATGCTGGATCAATGAGTAATGAGATGTGTCCATGAGGAATATTAATGTTATTTCTCCGTAAAGTAAGAATACCGTGTAATATACCGTGACTGGCTGGTATTTCTGGGGTTGTAAATTATATTATCTGAAGAATCAAAGTGATTTATACCCCTTGTCCTCTTCAGCTGAGCTCTGAGTGATGGATCACGTGACTGACCACACTCCTGGATTGGGTAGTTCCTGGCCCTCACGGAGCAATCGACAAACACTTTTTAATTTGATAAGCTAATTAATCTCTGGTATATTGATCGCAAAGATGAAATAGACAAACTGCTATATATAGCCCTTCCGAGGAATGGTAAGCGATGCGATATGATCCCACAATGACCGTGAACGATTAAAGGGGAAACGTTCCCCACAGGAACCAGAAGAAACGGTAATTCTTAAAACTCTGGTTTAACGGTAACCTACAAAACTGATGTTTGAAGTTACAATATTCCAATTCTTCATCTTCTTTGGACTTTTTTTTTGAAGAACTGCGTCAAAAGGAAGAACTGCGCGATCACAAAGCTACGCCGGATATTGAAAGGATGCTGGGATTCATTCGCTTCCGGTCATCCAATTAAGTCATTACTTGTGGCTGGATAAGGAGAGATAGCCAGCCTGTGGCCACGATTCTGAAATAGTAGTTCCTCGTTAAACAACAATGTAACCTTAAATACATATCCAGGTCACGCGGAAAATGACGACCCACTTGGAAAATAGGGCATAATTTTAGAAAGGCGCGGTGACCGGAGAAGGTTTGGTGGGGGGTAATGGAATAGGGAGGGTTTCTAATATGGCATCTTCCACTCAACACGACCACTTAGCACTTCTCATTTCCCTGCTGGAGCATCCATGCGACACGTATGTTGTTAAGGGACATTAGACCTCTAAGGATGCTCTAACGTAAGCTCTGCTCGCCATGTGTTGGTTATTGTACAGTAACACTACATGTTTAAGAAGTCCGGATTCAATTCCGTGAGTGATGTATGAATCATAGCTTCAGACAGAATGATGATATTCACCAGAGAACATGATAACCCAGATAACATCGTTAATTCCTCCAACTCAAAAGAATTACGTCGGAGCGTCGTATGAACACAAATTCGGAAACCCGTCGTTTCGTGTGCCAGTTTGGTGTAAAGTGATCGGCGTTCCCCACGTCGTATTTCATGGAGTTCTACCGCTTCCCGAGCGCCCACATAGAAATTGGAATTACAGCACGCCATTGCTTCAATAACTGTGTGAATATGATAATTCAATTTCGTGAATCTCACGTTACAAGGAAAAACATTTTATGACATGTTTCAAATCTGCATTAGCAGCACTTCAAACGTGTGCATCAAAGATGGTCAATGGAATAGGCGTACAATAGGCATACATGAAGTCATTAAACTATAGATTATGCCAGTATGGGTATCGAGGTCTGCTATTTCACACGGCTTAATAACGCTTTCTTATAGTAAACGGAATTCCATGTTTGAATTTCGACCATGCTGAGTTTAAGTCAAAGATATTTACGGCCTGATCAATCTTGTATAAAGAAGGCATTAGAGAATGTTAGCGGGATAATGCGGAGAAAATGGGTGTTTTAGTGTTCTGCCTGTGCGGGTTGTCTAGACGCGGCACCGTGAAGTTAGTTTACAACGATGTGGTTTACACATCACAAGTTCACTATGCAATAACATAAACTATTGGGTTTTTTTGTCACTGATGAGGATTGAGGTGTCATTTTTGTTGGTTCCGTGCGATCTGAGTGCTTTATAATAAAGAGTTAGCTACTTGTGCATGCTATTGGAACGCCTCTGTGTATGAATGACCTTCACGTTTTATAGATATGTTGTATGTACAACAAAGATATGTTCAAGATTGACACTAACGGTACACGGTTGTCCAATATGTTTAATCGGTTAAACGAATAGGTGGTGACTGACATTTTTTGACCTACTGAAACCGTTAGAATATTTTGTTTTCCACAAAGAAGTGGAGTCGGTCAGATAAGTACGTAATATAATTTGATGGAGAATGTTGAACAACTTGTCAGCCAAGTGTTTTTTATTTATTAATACCAAGTATTGTTATCATCTAAGCGTCGTTTTCTGCATTCCTTTAAGAGCTTTTTGTGTTGTTTTCTTTGTGTGTATTTGTGGGTTTGTTTTGTTTTGTTTGTTTTTTTGTTGTTGTACTGGTTTGGGTTTTTTTAGGGGGGGTAGTGGGGCGGGCGTTGTATGGGTTGTATGTAGAGATGTACTTGAAGATTTGAAATTCTTTAAATGTTTTACTTTTTGTTCAGCATGTCACAAACATGTTTTCGAAGAAGTACGCGTACCACGGGTAAATCTGTCATTCAGCAAGAAATCCGTACATGCATTTACTTGATTCTTGAAATAGCTCCCGATTATCAGGATGAATGTTAGCATTTATAAGGATTATTTACCTGGTATCTTGGCACGTTCAGAGGCTGATATTAGAACCCGATATCTATAAACACAAGGCAGTAAAAAATTCCAAATTGTAATTATAAATCTCCTTATTCGTGTTGTATTCGAATAACTGATGATATAGCTTTGTGCAAGTGACTCGTATCGTAATGGCCGATTTGAATTAAATAGCGATCTTATTCCCAAATTGTCTACCGAGGGCACATATTTGGGAATTATTTATAATCCCTGGGTAAAGTGAGTGTGTGGTTTATGCCATTTATAACAGGAGTTGCCCGTATGACAGTGTGCAAATGTATTCCGGGAGGAACGCCCTATGTGGGGTAGCTCATAGATATTTTATACTTTAGTGAAACCTCAGGTATGCAGCTTACAAACCAAAGAGCATAATCAGAGAGACTCTGGAACCAGGAACGGCTACTGGTTTCGGGACTTCAGAGGGATGGGTAGAACCTGTGACCTTGTGGCCCCAGCCATAATGCAGCAACTTATCATCTTGTCACTGAGTCGTGGTTTGCCTGAGCCAAACCAATTATATACTTCTGGTTCCAAAATTGCAGCACGTCAATTTGGGCATTCCTGGTTATCAAACCAACGTGACTCGTCGAGAATATGCTTATGTACTTAATGGTTTGGACATTAAGTTAGAAGTTAAAATATTTTTTATGGGTTTAAATCCAACCGTACCCATTAAATGAGAAATGCCGTCTCCATATTACGTTCCTGAGTTTCCCAAGGTTGATGTTTATGTCCCCAGGTGATCAAGGACTACAAGCTGTTTCTGATCGTGTGTGTGTTGGTGCTTCTGGATGCTGTCATTCTGGTGGCCTGGCAGGTGTACGACCCCATACAGAGGGCCGAGAAAAACCTGGCCCCTGAGGTAAGATGGCGGGAGTTGGTGGTGGATGTTTGTGCTGCTAGTTTCCTAAAGAAGGCCGAAAATACCTGGCTTCGGGGTAAGGTTCTAAGTGAATGAGTTGGGTTTTACGCCGCTTTTAGCAGTATTCCAGCAATGTCACGGCTTCACACATTGTACCAAATTGTTGGTGGTGGACGTTGGTGCAACATGATGCTGCCAATCTACAGATGTGCAACCCCAAACATTGGATAGGAAGGATGTACACGTTAAGCGTTTTATCCTGGCACAGGTGTACGACCCTGTCCAACCCGGGGAAGTATTTCTAATTGGTTGTTTCCAGTGTGTGGCACAGCCTGCATGGCATGGTATATTGAATATGGTTTATCAGTATCTGTGAAACATATACTGAGGGAGATGAGGACAAGCTTTATGGATGAACTACTTCTTTATTCAGGAGATGCGACGTCTCGATACAGATTCTTGTATCGCTGTCTCATACTATCCAATTTCTAAACATGCCTCTCAAAGAAGATAGGTTTGACAACCTCACCCTCGCCTTTGCCACTCACTACATTATACTATATATTATATATATTATACTGAGTGGCAAAGGTGAGATTGTCAAACGTGAGCTTCATGTTGACCCGAGCTGTGGCATCGAACCCGGAATGATGAACACATGCTTTTACCACGCTGTTGATGCTTTGACCCAACGACAGCCGTTCCAGTGCTTTTCTTCGTTGATGTCAATTTCAGGCACACCGAGTATTAAATCTAATACTGAAACAGACATCCATTTAAACGCTGGCATGTAGAGCTGCGCTTGCTCACTAAATAGCCCCCGACTTCACCCTCCACGACAGCAACAACCACGGCGGTAGACTATAATGACAGTGATGGATTTAAACAGTTATATATACTGTCGTTATTTCACTATAATTACAACTAAGTGTTAAACTCGCATTTCAGCGTTCACGTGTTTACCCACACAGGTACAGCCAATTCACTTTGCGATGAAACTTCAAATGGGTTTAAATAGAAAATGAGCAATCTAGGAAATGAAAATACAATAAGAGCATGTCTTAGCTGTCGTAGACGATGAAGGTATTACGCGGGAAGTCTCAACCCGGCTGTTACGGAGGACGCCGTGGGTTATACAGGCAGAGATGGCGCCGCTGGGAGAGGTGAGATCGTCTTGTGTTCCCTGGTACCCTCCCGGAATACAGCCTCAGATTCAATTACCTCTTAGTCTCCATCACACTTGCACCTCCACCACCAATAGCTTGAGCTAAGTCTGATGTTCCTGCTCCCATGTCAGCGCTGAGACAACCCATCGTGCGGGACACAATACTTCAGCGGCTTCTTGGGGTAGGGATCTCAGTCAGGGGGTTGGAGGCACGTCTTGGTAATACCTTGTTACCGCTTAACGTTTATGCGATATAAACTAGAAATTGGTGAACGAGATTTGGTTTGAATTAGTTTTGTCGTCCTATTCCAATGTGATCGTGTTTGTAGAACTCGATAGATTTTTCAGTAATGTAACGCTTATGGCCTCTTTCAAAGTGTCACGTATTTTCGAGAAATTCAACGTTTCGTAAAATACGAAATGTCCAAGGAAACACGAACATAGGTCATTGCCTCTTCTAACACATTTTGATCTTAAATGTAAATAGTATTGTCTGTTGTGGAAAGATGTGTGTAAATAGATAATTCATTGATGTTACTCTTGCCAAATAACGATAACCTTTTCACAACTGAAACACAACCTGTGGGCGCTGAATGCATGGGTTGCATTTTATGATATTGGATTTTCCACGACGTTGTGAAATACATGGGCTGTTTGATAAGCTGCTGGAAGCCTGCTTCTAATGACTTTCCTTTTTTCTCATTTAGGTTTACGAGGACTACAGTGTTACTCCTGTTTTAGAATATTGCAAGAGTGAATTTATGGAGATCTGGTTGGGATCCATTTATGCATATAAAGGCCTCCTCCTTGTAAGTGGACGCACACGCACACACATGCGCACGAGCGCGCACACACGCACATGGACAGAGTTTGTGTGTTTTGAGAGTAGTTTCAAACGGCATGTCATTTCTATTTGATTGTATCAGCTAATGTAGGAGGGCAGCCTAAATTGAGAAAGGTCATAGACGTGTAATACAAAGTCACAATCCAAATATCATAATAGGCGTACAGAACATTGAATGTATACCAGATTATATGTGACTTTAAAGGAACATGTTCGTCTACTCTGATTTTCTAAGGCAAATATTACGTATCGTGTTTTGACACAATTTCATAGAGTTAATCAAGCGCTTTGATCCTGGACACAGACTTGTCACATTTCACCACCATACACAAATGCTTGTAGAAACTGTAAAAAAACAACAAAATTTAAGCAGTTTTCCTTTTATGAATACAAACAATATAGAGAAACATGGAAACGATATTCCAGTTTTGAGGTAATGAATCGAAATACATGTTGTTGAGTTTGTTGTATGCATATTAACATTTCGGTATGAATTTCTTTCCCAGGTATTTGGTTGTTTTCTGGCGTGGGAAACTCGACACGTGAGCATCCCTGCATTGAACGACTCCAAGTACATCGGCATGAGCGTGTACAACGTGGTCATTATGTGCGTGTGCGGGGGTGCTGTGTCTTTCCTCATCAAGGACCAGCCCAATTCCTCCTTCATCATCATCAGCCTCTGTATCCTGTTCTGTACAACAATCACACTGTGCCTTGTGTTTATGCCAAAGGTAGGTACACAAACAGGCTACGTCTCAGTATTGGAGGGAGTGAGTGAGTTTAGTTTTACGCCTCACTCAGCAATATTCCAGCTATATGGCGGCACTCTGTAAATTGTCGAGTCCGGACCAGACAATCTAGTGATCAACAGCATGAGCATCGATCTACGCAACTGGGATACGATGACTTGTGTCAGCCAAGTCAGTTAACCTAACCACCGGATCTCGTTAGTCGCCTCAACGACTAGCATGGGTTACTGAAGACCAATTCCGACCCGGATCTTCTCTGGTAGTATTGGAGCTCTGGAAACCTGACTTATCATAATATGTTTACAGTAGTGAGTAAGTGAGTTTAGTTTAGTGTTACGCCGCTTTTAGCAATATCACAGCGGGGCACACCAGAAATGGGCTTCATACATGTGCCCATATGGGGAATCAAACCCAGGTTTCGGCGTGACGAGCTAATGCCTTAACCATAGGCTACCCCACCGCGCCTGTTTACAGTTTGTCGTTGTGAAATGAAATTGATAGTTTGACCCTAAGGTTAATCATAATTATAAGCGCCTTCATCCTTTCCGATTTCAGAACAAGTCAGTATGAGCTGTTGTATACATGATAAGCTAACATTATTTCCTGACAATGACAAAGGTTTTCTTTTCAAAAATACTAGTATTCAACCTGCATTGTTTCCTTATGTCATAGCCGCCATATAGCTGGAATATTGCTAAGTGCGGCGTAACTAATCTCACTCACTCACTCCTTATGTCTTACTAGTACATGTATGTAGGCTCAATCATTTCCCATCTGACAGGTGGACGTGTTTCTGTGTGATACGAAGCCACCATCTTGCTTCCAGGTACGAGTTGTACATAGGAACAGTGTGCAAAATACTTTCCAAATTTTGCTAGCCAGTTGGGCAAGATAGGCCTGAAAGTTACTAGCCCACAAAATAATTCACTAGCCCGAAATGCAAATGTAGAAACTAAGCCAAAGATTACAAAAAGGTAAATTACCATCAACAAATGACCCCATGAAATTTCACTAGCTGGTCTGGATTTACTGGCTCGACTGGATTTTTTCTATCCACGGGCTAATGGGCCAGTGGCTATTTCGCGCACTGCATAGGAAGATTGACATTTTACCCCTGACAATTAAATAGTTCCTGGTGATAATCTTATCCATCTTTGTTTTCATAACACGTACTATATTAATTACCCCCGACTTTCAAATTGTTTCTTAGTCACAACCTTAAACCTCGTTGTTTTCATAGGACGTATGGAAGACAGCATTATTTCCCCTCTGACTTTAAACAGTGTTTCCTCCTCCAAAACTTAAACCTGGTTGTTTTCAGAGGACGCATACAAGACATCATCACTTCCCCTCTGACTGGAAACATTGTTTACAAGAGACAATCATAAACATCGTTGTTTTCATGGGGCATATAAAAGACTGCATTATTTCCCTTCGGACTTCCAACATTCTTTCCTCGTGATAATCCTGTCTCGTTAGTTTCAGGAAACATGCATCAGGACCCATTTTTCCTCGCAACAATATTATTCCTTGTTGGGTTTTTTATAATGGCAATGTTACGCCGTTTCTTTACAAAGAGTTCAAAGATTACATTACTGTCATGACACGCTGCCAAGGATTCTTAATTATCTCCTCTGGCAGTGAAATAAACAGTATCGTAAAGAGACGTTACATCGTTGTCGATAGCAAACGTACATTGCATCGATTGTTAAGGAATCATGTGTACTGAATAATGTTCTTGAAGGGGTTTTGACATGCCTAAAAGTAATTGTCAGGGACAGTGATTCCATATCCATGGGACGGAATAACAATGTTTTATTGTCTAGTTAAGTATCATGAGTGCACCACGTGTGTAGTTTCACGGAGTCGTACCATGGCAAGTGTCTTAGATAGCTAACCTAACAACACAGACGAACTGCCAAGCCTAATTCCTTCAGATGTTCAGACTAATGGATGGTCATGACACCGTCACTGGAACCCATATGGACCTGTGACCTATACCGTCACGGCCTATATATACCATGTCTATTGTACTGACACTTCATGTATGTAAACCATCACATATAAAGATGGCGATGTCTACTGTTATTATGTTCTGCCCGGACTAAGTAACCATCACTGCCGTCAGTGACAAGTGCTTCCACTTAATATACTCCCTGGTCGTCATTTCAAACCAATACATGCCAACAAGTCAGAAATGGAAAACAGCAATAAATTGTTTGGTTTTAGGAAAATACAACTTGCGTGTCACCATAAAATATGTCGAGGAGGGGTTGACAGCTAAATTGCAACCAGGCACGATGTCCTGAAGCGAGGCTAAAGGGGGACAGTATGTCGCTTGTGTAGAGGTAATGACAATGTATGTCAAGCATCTTTGTGGGGACACGGGGCACTTATACTGTATTGCTGTCATGTGCTGCATCGTTTGACCTTTCGTTGATAGCAGCTCATGTCGACTTCCAATCAGGATATAGCTCCTGTGACGACCGCGTGAACATATACCACTCGACATGTGCGAGGGATATCCACAGCGTCCTTGTGGTGAAGGAGTGTTTCAGACAGGAGATGTTGCGGTTGAACTAACGTAGTTTCCACGTCATTCCGTGCCTAAGGGCTGACACCTCCATCACCCGATGCTGTATCATCATATTGTTCATGCCTCTGATTCATAGCCAGGAATTTGGTCAATCAGAACGTACGATTGAAGCAAGTGAAGCTGGCGCTGTGTTTGATAATTGTACACAATTATACACAAGATATACACCTACCATCAGGTGATTTAAGTCGAGGTGAGGTGAGGTGAAATTGGGTTTAACGTCGTGCTTGAGAATATTTCGCTCATATGACGACGTGCATCCGTGTGTATGTGTATGTGTGGCTGCTTGTACTAGCCCAGACTGAAGCTGGTTTTATAGTGCTAGCCCACTGAGATACCATGCCGCAGTGAAGCATGAATACCCCACTCAGACACATTATACTGACTCCGACCCGACCAGTCCTTGTTGTACCCATTAATGCCGAGCGCCAGGCAGGGACCAACAAGTACCATATTTTAACGTCTTTTGGTATGACGCGGTCGGGGATCGAACCCGCGATCTTCCGCTCTCCGGGCGGACGCTCTAACAACTACACCACGGAGGCGGTGCTTTAAGTGGAGGAATTACTCAGATATATTATAATGTAGTTATTCTACCTCCGGAATCAACAAATTCTCGTGATTTCTGTATAACTTACGACACAGAGACCTCGAATGATTGGATATGTGTTAACCCCAACCGATAATTTGTTAATCGATCTAAACTCACTCACGCGACCAACCCACACGCATTAACTTTCTTGGGAACCAGACTCACTCACGCATTAACTCTTTGTGGAAATAGCTCACTTACGCATTAACTTTCTTGGGAACCAAACTCACTCACGCATTAACTCTTTGTGGAAATAGCTCACTTACGCATTAACTTTCTTGCCAAACTCACTCACGCATTAACTCTTTGTGGAAATAGCTCACTTACGCATTAACTTTCTTGGGATCCAAACTCACTCACGCATTAACTCTTTGTGGAAATAGCTCACTTACGCATTAACTTTCTTGGGAACCAAACTCACTCACGCATTAACTCTTTGTGGAAATAGCTCACTTACGCATTAACTTTCTTGGGAACCAAACTCACTCACGCATTAACTCTTTGTGGAAATAGCTCACTTACGCATTAACTTTCTTGGGAACCAAACTCACTCACGCATTAACTCTTTGTGGAAATAGCTCACTTACGCATTAACTTTCTTGGGATCCAAACTTACTCACGCATTAACTTTCTTGGGAACCAAACTCACGCATTAACTTTCAAGGAACAAACTAACGCATTAACTTTCTAGGGAAGCAAACTCGCTCACGCATTAACTTTCTAGGGAACCAAACTCGCTCACGAATTAACTTTCTAGGGAATAAGACCATAATACTATGAGCTTACATCTTAATCTTCCCCATGCACAGGTCTAATAAATCCGTATGTCTCGAACATTTTCTGTGATTTCGCTAAGTATGTTTTGTGATTGTAATCTTATTGTAAGTCCTCACAACCCCTTTTACTGGCGAGCCATTGTCCGTTTTATTTTATTTTGTGTTATTAGGTATGGATATATATCTCTTTATGGTAACATACTAGTTTTCAACAACATATGTGATACTTTAGTTATTTTAAACTTATTTGATGACAGGATTTTATAGTAAATACACGTATATATCGTGTATACATAACTTTTCCAGTCACGATATGGCTCAAATGCTGCCGATATGACTTTAAATTTTAACTCACTCACTATAGTATCATCTATATGAACATGGCTGTTTTAGTGCTGCCCAGCCTGCTTTCCTTTGGATGCACATTGTAATTACACAGTATAACGAACCTTCATGATCCAGCCCTATTCTTCTGTTCAGTTTTCTGTTGGCTAAAACCAGACCGAACTAATACCGTCTCATAATAGGCGCTTTCAAAGAGTCATTATCATGTAACATTTTTTCACATATTGATCAAATAACTTAATGAATTATGAATGATGTTTCTGAAATATTGTCAATTTTGTGAGGACAGAGATCTGACCTACTTAGTCACGTAATAGCAATGGCTCTTGACATTCATTTTTTTAATGTCACTAACTAGGGCCCTGTCATGTATCACGTGGTATCTGCCATTTCCTCACGTGCAGGACTGTCACGATAGAGCTTTTCTTGTTCAGCCAAAATAGTTCTTTTCTTCAATTATCGGAATTTTTGACAAGAAAATTTTCAATTTTCAAGGATGTTAATTTTCTTTTCAATAGCAATCATCGCGTTACTGCCAACAAGTAAACTAGCAATTTCCACTTATTATGAAACACGTTCTAATCTTTAAGTCAGTAATATCTGTTTTTCCTTTTAAAAATACATGAGGACATTGAGCTCACAGCGAGTGTGTTTAAGTGAGCTGGTATTTGGGATTGAGTTGTCAGCATTTCACACCATTCGTCCTGTCGTTCATCCGTCTGTCTGTTAACATGTCCGTCACTAAGAAACGTTTTACTTCGCCCACGAACTATTTCGGACAAGTTCTTAGTGATTAGGACCCGTGAAGATCCGGGTTGGATTTGATTTTCACTAACCCATGCTTGTCGTAAGAGGCGACTAACGGCATCGGGTGGTCAGGCTCGCTGACTTGGTTGACACATGTCATCGGTTTCCAATTGCGTAAATGGATGTTCATGTAACTGATCAATGGATTGTCTGGTCCATACTCGATTATTTTCAGACCGCCGCCATATAGCTGGGATATTGCTGAGTGTGGCGTAAAACTAAACTCACTCACTCATTCTAGTACATCTATGTTGGGCTCAATCATTTCCCATCTGACAGGTGAACGTGTTTCTGTGTGATACTAAACCACCATCTCGTCCACCAACAACCACGCAATTGCGCCCTCGTTTGTGATGAAATACATTTTGGTTATAACGTAGGACAGCTTTATGGCGTCCTAATGGCGAGGATTGTTCATCAGGGACTGATACACAGCTTGTAAAGTTTCCCACCCTACACACATAAGACCGTCATAAGGTCCGTTCACCTTACATTATTTATAGTTTGGTGAGATTCAGCTCCTAGCAAGACAAATTGACAAACCCACATGACCGCACTGGACTTGACGGAATATCAGCGTCAGGTCATAAAACGACTTGAGTATAATGGGAGGGCCCGTCACCGTTAACCATGTCTCGACCAGCTGTTTTTACAGTCTCTCGACTGTAGAGTTCAACTAAAGTAATACACAAGGGTACTTACGTTGTGTATATAGGTGGGCCTGGAGGTTCTGTGTGGCTGAAACTTCCTCATGGTAAATATCAACGAGGAAGCTATGGAGCATAAAGCACCATTACATACTTGATACTGAAAACCTCGTATAACATATTTCATGAAGTGTTTGCAAAATTTATGTCCTGGGTAGTTGCACTCATCATTGCCGCGGAAGCATTTAAAAGATTACCTTTACCGGAGAGAAATGTGATGTTTACTGAAGACATGATTGATCAGGTAATATACTGGATGGTCTACTGGAATATTTATCCACAAACTAACTAAATAGAGACCACATGCGCGTTTTGAGTGCTGGATCTCAAACATATCTAACATGGTATACAGATATTAGATATAGTAATACGGCAACAAATACATATGAGAGAAGATACAAAAATATATCATATATACATAATACAAAATGTTTTAGCTGAGTAGCTAAGGTTTAATGTGATATTCAAAGCAGGTTTTGGTAGAAAAATATACATCATGTTGAGAAGAGACATTTTTGGCAGAATTAAAAAGTTGCACATTGTAAGTGAATAAAGTGAGTGAGTATAGTTTTACGCCCGCATTTAGCAATATTCCACCTGAAATGGGCATCACACATTGTAGCCATGTGGGAAATGTAACTCGGGTCTTCGGCGTGATGAGTGAACGTTTTCAACCACGTGGTTACCCCACCGCCCCGTGAATAAATGGACTCTGACATCACCATACAACTGTGATGAAATAGCTTTCCAACTTTGTCATTGTCTTCAGTGTACAGATCTGAGCCTCGATTTTCGAAGCTCTCTTAGCGCTAAGATAGTCGTAAGTTAATGTTAATGTATGGCACTTACGACTATCTTAGTGCTAAGAGAGCTTCGAAAATCGGGGCCCTGGATCGGGGCTAAGACTTTATTAAGTCTGTGTTAAGATGTGGGATCACTTTAGCTCTAAGGTTATTTCGTACAACACTGCATCTACCTTACGTGCGGTAACTGCCCGTATACACGTATATGCTTGTGTTGTTACAGTGTAACACTATGTATGTGATGTTGCAGTGTGTGTATGTTGATGTATGTGTTGCAGATGATTACACTACGGCGGAACCCCAAGGGTAACGACACGCGTGTTCGAGCAACGCTGAAGAAGACGTCCAAGAAAGACGCCACAGATAGTAGCGAACTCCAGCTGAAAATTAGAACTATAGGAGATGAAAATAGGAAATTAAGAGAGATTTTAGCTCAGGTAAGTACAGTAGTGATACATACACTGTAATACATGTTTTAAAAATGTGCATTGGAACTTCACTTCCAGTAACCTTGCATGTTCAGTGCCACTTAGTTATAAGGGAACTGAGATCTCAAAACCTCACGCCTGACCTTATGTACGCTGATCCTTTGTTCAGTAATGACATTTTTTTGTGGAATGACAAAAATGAATATAGTTATGTTCTTGAATGTTGATTTTGCTCTATACAGACAAACATGTATCATTAACACTGCCAAATGTGTTTGTTGTTCATGTGTTCCGAAGGCTTTCTTAATTGGGGAAATGATGAGGTTATACATTTTCAAAGCTGTGTTGACATATCGTTTCTCAATGAAAAAACCCACACTCGAACAAGAATAAAGTTCAAACTTGTTAGTAATGACTTCACTGATCCCATACACTTTACAATCCGGTTACTTACAGATAGAAACACATAAATATTAATATTTAGCACTAATATGATCTCGATATATTTTGTATCAGCACATGAGGAATGCATAATCTAGTTCGACGCTAAATTGTTATTCGAACGGAGATGGTGTTTGTAGTTGCTGTATGTTCTGGTTGTGATGGTGTTGCAGCGAGCCTCCGAGGTAGAGCATATACTGGAGCAGCTGGGTGAGGAAGCGTCAACCTACGACCTGGGCATCAGATCCGCCGTGCACAAGAAGGTGCTGGAGCTCAGGGTCTCGGATGTCTCGCCCAGCAAAATATCTCGTTGTGAGTACCCATGTTCCTTGAAATGACCGGAATTTGGAGTTCCGCACCAGAATCCTCTGGTTGTAGAGTCCGTCGTCCTTCCGTCGTGTGCTGCCTGCCCTTCTCTATCATCATCTCACAGTCTTCTGTGCGTTGCACCATCTGCCAAACGTCTATCGTCGTCGCATCCCTTCTAGTTTCTAAGATATAATATTGATCTTTCTTAGTTCATCTTCAACGTAGCCTCTTACCCTTCTCACGTTGTCTGTTCCCCTTCTACTGTCATCCGATCTCCTTCGGTCGTCTTCCGTTCCCCTTCTACCGTCTGTTTCGTTTCTGCAGTATGTGGACACGTGATGACCTGGGTTAGAATAGGTCTTCCATACCCATGAGTGACTGAGTGAGTGAGTTTAGTTTTACGCCGCACTCAGCAATATTCCAGCTATATGGCGGCTGTCTGTAAATAATCGAGTATGGACCAGACAATCCTGTGATCAACAGCATGAGCATCAATCTGCGCAATTGAGAACCGATGACATGTGTCAACCAAGCCAGCGAGCCTGACCACCCGGTCTCATTAGTCGCCTCTTACGACAAGCAATGGTTAGTGAAGATCAATATTCCAACCCGGACCTTCACGGGTTTCCATACCCCATGCTTTTCGAAAGAACCGACTAACTGGATTTTGTCGTCAGGCTCGCTGACTAGGTTGATGTATGTCATTGTGTCCCAACTGCGTAGATCGATGCTCATGAGGTCAGTCACTGGATTGTCTGGTCCAGCCACTACTATTCACAGACTGCCGTCATGAAGTTGAGGTTTCGTTTAGCAACAAACAAGCAGCCATCCGTTTCCGTTCTTCCGCCGTCTGTTCCCAGTTTACTGTCGTCTGTTCCCTGTCAAGTGTAGTTCGTTCCCCTTCTCCTGTACACTCTTTACACCGCACACATCACAATAAAACCTTCAGTTAACCGCCCCCTGTGGACAGAAGTACCGCCCCAGGTTTTCTTTCACAGTACACAGCTGTCTTCATCCCCATCCACAATACATGAACTTTACACGTATATAACCACTGCTAATCTCAGAATGATGCATCATTAATGTTCAAATGTCCCGTTAGCTTCCAGTGCCTCCGAGGCTGACTGCACCTCCACGTACTCCGAGGTCAGCGGTACCACGAGTCTGTGGGCCGACTCTCCGCCCTTGGCCAGGACGTCCAAAGTCCGATTACTCACTGACAGGCTTCGACCAGAGGTTATAGAACTAGCGGATCTCAGGTAGGTCCATGCTGTGTCACACAGATCACTGCTCCAGGCGCCGTTCAACGAAGCTATGTTGCCAGTACAACCTTGAACCCATGTTCCAGACAGGAGTCACCGTTAACATGTCGCAAGAACCGCTTTAAGGAATGGGGTCCTTGTTGATAAAGTTTCCCTGGTATTGTCTCTATTTCAACATAACACTACCCATAACCTACAGTAGCCAACTGGTTAAAGTGTTGTCAAGCCGAATGCCAGGACTGTTCCAATCGTGATATTGATGGAAGTTTTGTTTAAAGCGGGATAAAACCTTAATCAATATGAACGTGTAACTAGGCCCCAGGTTTGTTAAAGTGATATGCACCCTTCGACAACACTAATTATGCAACAGAGTAGTCAACAGGCGGCACTCCCTTTTCTCAAAAAACAGTTTTGAAAGTCATTGCCCAAGATCCGTTTTGTGAAACGGAGCCCCTATCTTTAAATTTACTGCACGCGGATACTCTTTGTTCTTAACTCCTGGGGCAGAATGAGTTCAATTTGGAACAGGCAACGTCAAGAACGAAAAGGTTTTGAAAGCATTAATACCCTGCAGGTTGTGCGACATCAGACCTTAAGATGATGGTCAGGCCGTTGACCAATGTCCCTGGTACATGGTTGTCCTAAATGGCCCTTCGTGCTGCTGTGATGTTAATTAGAGCTTCATTATATTCCATCATGCCAAGGTGGCATAAAACTCACATAAAACAGAAAACGATCCCCAGAGATGAATTCTCATTATAATCACTTTTCTGTTGCTAAGAAATAAGGGTCTGACTTCACGCACCTGCAACGTGCTATCTCCAGCCGAGGAGGAAGATGACGATGATGATCCGTTCGGGGGAGTCTATCTGGGACCTCCTGAAATAGACATACCTAAACCTAAAGTTAATTTTGATAGGTAAGTTTTGTTTTGCCATTGATTTTGTTGATATTCTTTCATTACCTACAAAACAAGACATGCTGAGAAAAATATCTCAGGGCGAAAATATATCATATGCGGGGTAAGAAGAGTTAGAGCGAGCGAGATTCATATCACGTTTCCTACGTAGTCAGGCGTTTTTTGCTACATGAAAAACTACTGTTTCTCGCTTCACACGTGTTGTTCCCAAATCCCATCATCGCATCGATTTTTCTACAGCAAAAAAACGAGAGGCAAAGACGTTTTCTTTCACATGTTAATCGAATGTTAATCATCGGTCTATTTGCAGCATGCCTGATAGAATAGCAAAGGAAGAGCATCCAACAGTAGAAAGCAGAGTTCGCCCTTCCTGCTCCAGGCTGCGTGCGGACTCGGACGTTTCCTCGGAGACCGATCAGGATCGCAGTGAGCCAATCAGCGTTCCCAGCCTACAAGGTCTGCGCATGTGCAAGCGAACCGTATTTCCGATCTTGACTTTTTGTCACTAACATTATGGCCGTGTAAGATAGTGCTGAAAAGACAATGTTATTTTTTCGCAGGAATCATTGTAAAAATAACACTGTACCTCCATGCCCTATCGTAAACTGCCTGCACTAACAATCTCCAATGGAATGAATGTCTGTAACGACTAGTATTGGAGTATCTCCTAACTCGTGGTATATGTGTGTTGTGTGCATGATGGTCTTACAATGGTTATCGTGTGTCGTAGCATATACTAGATACTAATACATTCGTGTTGAAATTTTAAATGAAACTTTAAATATTGAACACAACATGAAAATTATTCCTGTTTTTAAAAACAATTCTTTCTAAATGTCATATAAAATGAATTATCAAAATGAACAAATCCAAATGATCAACGTTTGTTTTAAGACATTTTTCAATGACACAGACAGATAATTTAGATATATAATTAAAAAGTCAAGACTATTTGCCATAATGTGATGGCGCACGCCGTGGAAAGCTAATACAGTCTGGAGAGACGAACGCCCGATGTCCTAAACGTGTTTTCTTAGGGATGAGGATGAGGGATGGAATAGGGACTTGCTGACAGAGCTCCTTATTAAGATGAAGCTGTTCGGGTGTGACCTATGACGTTGTGCCCAGCTATGTAGACAGGATTGTGGTCAGGAGTTCCTTTAGATCTTGGCACGAGTTAGGCGAGAAATATCGCCCATAGATGTTACAGGTCACGGACGCACCTTCCAGGGTATATCTTACTCTTAATTACGTTTGTCTAGTTAATTACATCGATGTCGCGCTAACGTCACTCGGCAGGCAAATCTCTTTGTTTGAGTAGACCGACTCAGCCCTGGCAGAAACGGGCCATTAATCACACACGCTGCGTGTAATGGAATTATGACAATATCGCCGTAGCCGTAAAGTGGTCGCACGCGTAGTAATCGACCGGAAAATGGTCGTAATTGTCGTGAGATAGATTAAAGCCAAGCGAGACATCGGCGGGAACAAAACAAGACAAATATGTGAAATGCCGGCCAGAAAGAGGTCGATTTGATCCTTCAGTCCCTTTAAGTCTTCAAAGAGGGCATTATTACTCTTCATGATCAGTGATTCGAAAATATATCCACTAACAGTAATAGACTCTTCATTTTTGTAAAATCATCCTATTGAAACACAGACGCCCGCCCCAGATTGCTCTTGGCGAAACATAAGGCTTCAGTGTTGAATGTGATTCTCTACTTGACGCAACAGGATTATCAGTTGACTAATTGTCGCTGATGCAACTCTCACGACATCCTTCGACTCACTTTCAACCTCTGTGCAACATGTAGTGCGATTGAGGGAAGCAATATTGTTAACATCAACCAACAACCTGCTCTGTATTTTGTTCACGAAGCTGTTATTTTTGAATCGATACTTCTTCATACAAAGCCATCTGACCTCAGATATAATTACGGTTCTTTCATCGTTGAACATTTGAATAGAAATCTAATTTTCTTCGTCTCAAACGAAAATAAATGCTGCACGTTACGTTGCTGGTTTCTGATAGTGACAAATCATCGTGAATAATTGGTTGATGATACATGTAAAACTGGGCTCTATCTCAGATAGCAGAATGCGCTTAGAAACACGTAAAGAATAAAGTGGAATGTTTGATTGGGTGTATTTAATAAATATGTATATTACACCGATGAAAGGAACTCAGCAACAATTTATATACGTGCAAGCAACACATGCATAACTCTCCAACTTTAACATTCAATATAGATCTCGCACATATTTCAATATCCACATCAAACTCGTCGTATCCATATCCATCATCATACTCCCTAACTTGAAACCTCTTCAATCCGGAGTGTAATATATCCGGTTTAAGGGGGTTCATATACCCGTTTGCCTTATACGTCGGCATGCTAGTATCTGATTTCTGTGTTTCAGACTGAATGCAATTGGGAACGATTTGTATGTGTGTGGTTTGACATAAATCATATAACTCATTCATTAACTCTGTGGACATGTATTTCCTATGCTGCTTTGTGAATTATGCATGGTCACGTGATTTACCATTTCAGCATGTAATGTAGGTATGTAAATATCTTAATTTAGCTAGAACCTTACATATAGCTGTCTGACTGAAAGTAATTCCTAGGAAACCATTCAGGTAGCCATCTCCACATGTTCATTCTTTTCGACTTGGCTTCCGGTCTGATGAAGTAATTCTGCTAATTTCAACACTAAAGAATTCAATTAGTCCAATGCACCTTAACCATATATTGTAACGAACAGGTGTTTCAGATCCAGATTCGTCAAAACTCGAAAAATGTTACTATTCCAAAATCCTGCGGTTTGTTGGATTATTTAGCAAATGTTATGTTATGGGAATATATTTCTGATTTTAAAACTATGTCTCATAGGGGTGTTCATTCAGGGGTGTTTCAGAAACCTCAGAATATCGCTACATCAGCAGATGTCCTTTTGTAAGAAATATAGTACATGTTAGATTCAGAGGGTGCATTATTTGTGATTGATTCTCTTTTATCAAAATATGCAGTAAGCATTGAAAGATTATTATATATACAAGAACTATTGACGGCATTCAGACAGTCCAGTATGAGTGCATTTTAAAAGCCTCTAGTATTCTGACAATATGTTTCCTGGCCATTGTAACGGGATAGATTTACACTGATGGAAAATGAAAACTTCTTTCAAAAAATATCAAATTTATATTACTTCTCTTTAGACTTCTCTTGAGATGAATCCACTAGAAGGGTGCTTTCAGTATTTTGTCATTTCGACAAAAATCTCATACTAATGAAATTAAACACTCCACTCTGAGTCTTTGTGTCCAGTCAGGGTTTTAACGTGACATGTGAGAGTACTAAGCATGATGATACCAATCTGTTCTGTCTTTGCTTTTGGGTGTAGGTCAACCTGTCTCATGTCTGGCATTATTGGGAAATTTGACATTTGGATTCGTCGTCGAAAATGCTTAATGCGAGACGGTTAGCCCGCATTCCCAACAGCAAGGACGTCTTTATTAACTCTACTAACACGACGCAGCCTTCAGATGTCCTCGATCTTGCCACACAAGTCACCGCGCGAACAGCAGTGTCCAGTTTAATGCCGAACCCCTGTCTGCCTAACTGTGGTCATAATCATTATTATACGTACATAGATGGCTTCCATGCCACCAAGGCCACTTATCCATCATGCCTCGGTTGTTATCGAAAGGTTTGTTAACGCTAAGTGTCAACGTGCATCAGTGAATCACGCTGTCATACTTTTCTAATGTAAATGTTTATTATCAAAAACTTCTGAAAACCAACGATAGCATACTGGCAGATATTAGGTTTTGGTTTGGGTGTTTGGTGATGTTTAAATGTGTTCATTCCAACCATCAATTGCAACATACCCTCAAAATTTACCAACCATAACGAACAACTGTTACATTGCTTTGCTTTCTATGAGGTCCCACTCATCCAAAATACCTTTCGCGTAAATATGTTTCGAAATGTTATCAGAGATTTTACCGGATTAATATTCACAACAAATATTGATATCACTAAACTTCCTCTGATAGTATGTTTTATTCAACTATTTTCCATAGAATAAGTAACAATATATGAACTCAAGTGGCACTGTGCTCAGCAGTGCAGATTATATTGACAGCATGGTGTGTGGCAAGGTCGATCAACATCCCCTCTTCCATTTCACTAACATAACTAACGCCTTGGTTGTTTCAGAGAATGATGACGATGTCGACCCGACCAGGTCGCTGCTTTCATAGTATGCATGTTTGGCGGTATGTTTTGTCGGGCTATGCTCGTCCTGAACTAACACTTGCTCTTACATCGCTCCTGTCCCACTAACATACTCCCACCCTACTAACAAAACACTGTTGTTGGTCCTGCATTGAGATCAGTCTTCATAGTCATGCATCGACATCAGTCTTCATAGTCATTCATTGACATAACTCGTCATAGTCATGCATAGGCAATTCAGATAAGATTGTTTAGTTTGTAGATCAGGCATCTAAAGCTTAAACGGCGTAATATTTCTAGTTTAAAATGTGTGCTTTATTTAGATATAGATAGAATTTTCCTATTAACTGTTCTGATGATATTCTTCTAATTACAGGTAAGTCTGTAAGTATATGTTAGACTATGTAACCATTTCGGTGTGATAACTTCTACTTGAGCATGCGTTATTGTGTCGTTGCATGAGATGTGTCAAATGTTTAAAATCCACTAATATTTTTTAACAATAAACAGGTATAACAGCGCGCCTTTCAACAGCGAAATTAGGACGCGGAAGGCGCCACAGTGCCCCGTGCAATATTTGGCCTATCACTGAGGCTACAGAAGAGACAGAGAGTGAGTCGGAAAATAGTCCGCAAGAAAACATAGTGCAAAATGACTGCAAGAAAGCCCCATTATGTGTGAGAGCGATGGACAGGCTCTGGGCCAAACCTAAACTCACTCGACAGCTGTCCCCTCACAGAGTGACGTTTCAGTGTGACGTTCTGGAAGACATTTGAGGGTTGTGAATAAATTGTGTGGTCAGAAAAAACGGAAATATACCTTCATCCGACATGGACGGTTTCAGGTGCGCGTTTTAGTGTCATCGTCGTGTGGATTCTTGTGATCATGGAAAACGGAAACATCAAATTGAGTTTATGAGAAGCAACGACTGAGCACACCGTATAATGGTATATTCTTCCCTACACTCAGCATGATTGTGGCAATAAATAATGCACGCTCCAAATGTGCGTATATGTGGGCATAAGTGGACTACGCATGCGCATCGAGCATTCACACATCATCACGAGGCACGGACGAGGCAGCCAATAGTTGACGATCATTTTATTTTCCGCTCTAGATCTGGGATTCAAATTGATATTTGATTGGCTGTTGTTATGGTGACGTTTAATTTATGCAAGTTGATTGACATGTGTTCCAGCATTTCTAACGTAAGGACAAGATGCCTTTTGGTGACATCACTATCTGTCTGTAGACCGGCCCTGGCCAGTAGGAACTACATGTCTTTGTTTTTTTTAATTGCTATAAAAGTTTTTACTCTAAATGGTTTTGTTTGTAATTGACATGTACAGGATATATGTTTGTTAACATGAAACGAACATACCCGAAGGCGTATTCTAAAGTTATTGTATAACCCTAGTGGTTATTATGTAACATCTCAGATGACATCGTGGAGTAAATAATATACTGGGCGAAGAAGCGTTATTTCCAAACTTGGAAACATCATGGATTCAACTCTCCTTCCAAACTTTCCATTGACGGAGTGATCATCGATTCAAAATGTCCCGGAGTTGAATGTTAACCTGCCCGATGATACTTCCAGGTACCCATTGGACAGCTTCGGAGTGCTACAGATTACTCTCCACTGTGTAATCTGGAACAGACTGTATGAGATCTGTATGATATGTACATATTTGATTGTAAATGACGTTTATCAAGAGTTTTGATACACGTTTTGAAATTACAGCTTTTTGTCCAGCAAATGACAATAATGATACCACAATATTGATTTTACTTTCCCTAATATATAAATCCTGTAGGAAACGATGCACGTGTCTGTTTTTTACAAATAAAATGTAAAAACAACCAGATCTGAAGCATGTTACCAAGTTGAACTCTGTGAAGCATTACAACACAAACCACTCTCATAAAAGCTTATATTATTAAGTTGACGGATCCGCCGAACACACCAATTTTTCAAATATTGTACAGAATTAAACCTATACAGACAGATACTGTATATTGTCAATATATTTACATGCCAAATCGTTTCGAACCCATTTGGTGACATTGTGGTCGTTGCAAATATAGTTCTATATTTCTAATTACCCAACTGTGTCTTGACCACTTCAAAAACTTTCTATTTTTCTGAAGTTTTGTTGAAATTCTATTTTGACCATCCAGCCTATGTAGGAAATAATCCGTAAACTTAATGACAAAAAGTATCCCCTCCGTATGTAACACGTGTGTCCAATTTGTTGGGGGTAATCCAGATGATTGCCGTTTTAAAACAATGACCCTGTTTTAATCAGATGTTACCCACCAGATGTGGTAGGAGATCCTGTGATATATTCGTTACTTTGCTTGTGTTAATTCTTTGGGGAAATGAATAGTTTTAATACCAATTTGACTGCAACTAAGACGAGTTTGTAATTAATTGTCATAAATAACAGTTCGGGTCCACGTTTCAGGTATTTATTTTCAGGTCGGGCAATTGTAGTGCAGTGTAATCACTTTCGGATACACAGAGGTGATTCTTGGAGACGGTCGTCTAAGTCACCGCAATAAGCTGGGTACAGTTGGGTTGTTTAGACCATACCAGACTTATGACCGTGACTCGAATTCGCCCTAATTAAATTTCAAGGTTTGTCAGCACCAAACCCGTGCTTATGAGTTCCTGAAAGTGATAAACATCAAAGACCTGCGTTACATGGGCGTTTCTTCCCAAACCCATGGCCAGTCCACACGTAATGATAAAACTGAAATATAGTAATCGATGAGAGTAATGAAGAAACATGTGGAACTATACGAGTTATATATTTAATTATCACCAATTTATGTATGTCTTGTTGAAATGGTAAGATCTTGCGTTTCCACAATTTTGCCAAAGAACTCCAGATATGCCGACAGTTCATGCTCTTCCACGGGGAGAAACAACTTCCAGGCATTCAGCATTTGTGTGAATTATTTAGCTAATATATGTCAAAGTATTCCTTAATTCATATCTTGATTTTATTACCAATGGGTCATGTATTGGCTTCTTAATGAGATTTTACAGCTGAATTCCATAACGTATTACTATCTGTAGGCACTGTCCACTGTTATCCCCACACTAAAACTGAGGGCGGGAACGGAAATGTATCTATCGGTGTAGTTTCAATGACTGTTCTATGTTTCCTTTCATCAGTATCAGTAGCGAGATAATCTAACGTGATATAAAACACACACTGAGTGTGCTTGGGCTGACTAATGAAAATGTGGCTTCATCGCTCATCAGATATCTGATTGGTCGTCACGGTCCTGGAGGGCATGCCGTGTGAAGTCTCATATTGTACCAGCTGTATCAGGTTGCATGTTTACTGCACCCACAACGTTCATGGCAAGAGGTTATTGATGTCCAGGAGCCGCACACCCAGTATTTGAGAGTCATTCTGTCCGAATAGTCCCCTGGTATTACTAACACTGAAACTACATAAAAAGGAATGAAACCTATAATAGATGGCAGGTATATGAAGTTTTAATCAAATACGTCATTCCTTTGATATCCTAGTATTATTTTATGAGGACGGCACAAACACAACACCCTCGAGAGCGTTAGGTTAGTGTTCCATACTTAAGCATTCCACAATACTTGTTCCAGTGCTAATCAACACCAGCTCGGATTCAGTATGACACGATGAGATATGTTCCATAACATATTACGTTGCACAGAACCAGTAGAACGCCAGTATTACCGGGCACATTAAGTTAGATAATATGAGTCGAGACGTATGATGTTTGTGTTAATGGCCATTTTGTTTTTCATTCATTTATTCCAGAGATATGTTTCAAATGGCATCGACTGGCTATGACGTTCAACTGATGAGATTAAATGTTGGTTTTAGTGTTATTTTCCAGAGTTGTCACACAATAAAATGTAACATTAGTAACTATTCCCAATATGTACATCTGGAGTGCTCAGTTCTACCTCATATATTAAAGAGCATCCATGGTGTCATTAGCACCACTGCTCGGTTAATGTCATAACCTGCGCACAACATTTATACTTTTATCACATTGCACCCGGTGGCCTTACCGCTACAACACACATTCTGTTGTTATCTACATCTGGTGTCATTGCCATCACAAAACACCTAGTGCCATTGTCTGCACAAAACACCCGGTGTTACACACCACACCTCATTTCAAGCACACTCATTACTTTCTGAAGGCAACATACATAGTTAACATCACAACACGCAGTTTTATTGCTAAATCCAACACCGGGTGGTATCATACAGCACGCCTTATGTCATTACAACCAACACACTCATTACTTTCTGAAGGCAACATACATAGTTACCATCACAACAGACAACGTTATTAGCAATCTAACACCAGGTGTCGTTATCAACACAATTTACACTAGTGGCTGCAAAGCACACGTCGTGTCAATACATCCGAGTACCGACAATACCGTTTTGAATATACATGTCATCAATACATATAATTAGTATACCATGTCGATGCTGTTTTCATTACAACCACAATGCACCCGGTAAATTACTAAACCAAATATGATACTATAGCAATAGTATGACACTAAGTAACTTTACTGCCTCCAAAGCAAGAAAACATAAGGTTACAAAAACACACCTGCTTCCATTGCCACGGACACAAACACACACCTACCACTGCAAACACTCATCATCATCTTTACTAACACTATAACAAACATGATGTTATTACCGCCACCATCACACACACTGGTTCATTAGTCCCTCCAAAATACACATTGTGCCGTTACTGCCAAAACAACAAACATGGTGTTATCACTGCTACCACGATACGCACTGTGTAAAACTACTGCTAGCACAGCACCTATTGCCATTATCACGAGAACAACACTCTTGGTGGCATTACTACAACGTAATACTTGCAGCGCAGCTTGTTAATATTAGCACAATAACCATCTGCCATACATGCCGTGACAAAACATACTCCCGCCACTTGGTGTCAAAAATTCAGCCACAGTACACATGGTGTCCTAACTCCCGCCAGATCACGCATGGTGTCTTAACCCCATCACAGCTTACATGCTGTCCTAACTACCATCACAGCTTACATGCTGTCCTAACTCCCATCACAGCTTACATTGTGTCTTAACCCCCATCACAGCTTACATGGTGTCCTAACTCCCATCACAGCTTACATGGTGTCCTAACTCCCATCACAGATTACATGGCGTCCTAACTCCCAACACAGCTTACATGGTGCCCTAAAGCCCATCACAGCTTACATCGTGTCCTAACTCCCACCAGAACACGCATGGTGTCTTAACCCCAATCACAGCTAACAACGTGTCCTAACACCCACCACAGCTTACATGGTGTCCTAACACCCACCACAGCATAAATGGTGTCCTAACTCCCACCAGACCACGCATGGTGTCTTAACCCCATCACAGCTTACATGGTGTCCTACCCCCAGCACAGCTTACACGGTGTCCTAACTCCCAACGCAGCATACATGGTGTCCTAACCCCCATCACAGCTTGCATGCTGTCTTTACTCCCATCACAGCTTACGTGGTGTCCTAACTCTCATCACAGCTTACATGGTGTCCTAACCCCCATC